ATTGTCCACATTGCAATGAGCAAACAAGCCAAAAAATAAAGCTGGTTGTTGAGGTTCTTGTGACCGAACTAAATTGATCTCATTGTCTCCACAAAATATTTTTTTCTCGCTCACCAACTTTTTCAAAAGAGTAACAGTAGCACGGATCAATCTTGGGTAAAGCGACTCAAACTCTTTCTACTCAAGTATGTCTTTTTTAACTTGGGGTCCAAAATCACAGACATCATATAAAAATAATAATCATCAATGAAGTAATAATATTTGGAAAGAACTTGATGCGCCGCGACCAGAGCGTTTTTCATATGATTCGAATCGTCAAGAATAGTCACAAGTACTTCAATGTACAAGAACAACTCAACAAACACAAGCATCACAAAGGAGAGCATTGCGTATTTCTTCCCACACATTAATCTTGACGCCTCTTCACATCTTTTCAGGTGATCACATATGCTTTGAAACTTACGCCATTCATCATCATTAAACTCCAACCGAGCTAGTTTGATATTTCCGATTTGAGTATTGGTACGGAGCCAATTCTTGAGGCCATTCTGAACCTTAATTGCTCTTTCAACCATATAATATGTTGAATTCTAACGGGTTGAGACATCTAAGATAAGCATCAAACTTTCACAATTTGCAAGATTGCATTGCCCACGGAATTGCTTTCTTTGCTGAGGATTGGAACACAATCTTTTCACAATAAATCGTAGCCTTCGGATAAGGTTCGAAGCATTTCTGTTGGGAATTTTGTTGTTGATTAGAGTCTAGTCAGTCTCTCCCAAAGATTTAAAAAATTGTTTCATTCGCTTTCAAAAATGCTTTCAAAAATGCTTTCACAAGTTGATAATGTGTGGCAAACATCATATCCCTGAATAATTTGCGTTTCAAGTTTTCAATATCTTTTCACGTATGCAATAATCGGCGATAGAGTTTTGCAAAGCTAACATTAGAGTATGGTTGTTTAAGGCATTGTCCATAGTCAAACATATAATAAGTTCAACAATTTCAAACTTCTCCAACGTGCGCTGGACAATTTATGCCAATCTAGTTCCATTGTGATCAGTTGTATCCGTAAAAGTTAGAAGTTTTTCGTGAAGTGTCCAGTCCGGCCCAACAAAATTGATGACTATAGCCAAAAAAGAGAACTGGTTTGAAAATATCCACATGTCCAATGACATATGTATCGTGGAATTGCTTTTAGACAATTCTTTCTTAAGCTCGAATCTCATATTCTTGACTCTTTTCAATATACCGTTTCGGAGTGCGTCAGCTTTCGGTATGATCACATTGTCACGTTTGCATTTGAGTAATATTTTCAAAAGCGTTAAAAATGACTTCGACTTAATAATAGTGTACGCTTCGACCTCAGACAACACAAAATTCTCAACTGCCTCACGAATAAGATCATTAAATATGTCCGAGGTGACTGCTATTTTTTTCTCCAAGGATGAAGAATTCTGAAAATAGCCGTGTATTGATCCCATCAATGCGTTACTACTACCATAATATTGTCTCTTATGATGACTTTTCACATGTTTCATCTGATTTGATATACTTTACCCTGTCTTCATGAAGACGTAATCGGAATAACATCATGATTTTGTGCAGTACTTACAGTACAACAATGCTTTTTCTTCTTCATCTACACGATTGATGTGCTCATAGATCACACCTTTTGGTTTAATTACATATTTTTTTGCAGTTGATCAAAAAAATTTACTCGTTAATTGATTTAAAATGTGCTATGTACTCATTGCTAGGATAGATCTCTTGCTTCTTTTCAACATACGTATCATCAATTTGACTGACAAGTGCAAGATTCTTTGAGTCATGTGTTACAATTCATTATACTCTTTCCTGGGATTGTATCTAAGAAGACGAACCAGAGAACATAAGCTTTGTAGGAGTTTTCATGTTTTGCAATGAAACAAATGAAAGGTTTTAGATCAATCCACATATGGCTCGCAAAATTAAACCTTCTCACGCAGATGTTGCAAGTTCAGATCTCAGATTTTACACCTCATGTGGGTCTCGCAGGTTTTTTCGGCTCTCATCAAATCACTCGGCGGTCGTAGGTCGAGGCTTGCAAATCACGTGAGTCTCTCGCATATCGTCTCGGTTTGCAGGTCGAGACTCGCACAGGTCGAGACTCAAAAATCACGCAAGGTAGCTTCGCAAGTCGGAGGTTGCAAATTGCAAATTACGCGGGGCAGGTTCGCAAGTCGGAGGTCGCAGATAGGGGTCAGTTAATCATGCGAGTCTCTCGCAGATTTCCTCGATTTGCAGGTCCGGACTCGCATAGGTTAGAACTTGCAAATCACGCGAGATAGGTTCGCAAGTCGGAGGTTGCAATTCGCAAATCACGCGGATCAGGTTAGCAGGTCGGAGCTCGCTAATCACACGAGATTTTCAAGGTAGGAGCTCGTCAATCACGCGAGTTTCTCGTAGGTCTGCAAGATCAGGCTCGCAAGTAAAATCAGACTTCCGCAAATCTCACAGTCTCGCAAGTAAGATCGGGCTACGACAAGTCTTTCAATCTCACAAGTAAGATTAGGCTCGCAAGTAAGATCGAGCTCCCGCAGACTCACAAGAAAGATCAGGCTTCCGCAGGCTGGCAAGTAATATTTTGAATAAGTTACTTGCGGGGTAGGACTCGCAGGTTACTGTCACTTGGGAATGCTCTTGAATAAGTCGCTTGCGGGGTAGGGCTCTCATGTTTTGCTGTCACTCAAGTTCGCAGATGTCATCCATGTGCTCTCGAATACGTCACTCCTTGGGATAGGGCTTGCAGGTTTCCTGTCACACAAGTTACTCTCGAATATATATAATTCGGTGCTCGCTTAAGTCACTCAGATGCTCGGTGCTCATACAAGTCACTCACGTTATCTCGAATATGTCACTCGCGGGTTAGAGTTTGCAAGTTTTTTGTCATACAGGTGTTTCTCGAATATATCTTTCGGTGCTCACATAAGTCACTCAGGTTCTCTCGAATATGTCACTCGCGGGGTAGAGTTCGCAAATTTTTTGTCACACAAATGTCTCTCGAATATATCACTTGGTGCTCGCATGAGCCACTTAGGTACTCTAGAATATGTCACTCGCGGGGTAGGGTTCGCAAATTTCTGTCACATAGGTGTCTCTCGAATATATCACTCAAGCTCACACATCTTCTCTTCGAATAAGTCACTCTCTGGCATGTGTCACTCGCAAGTCGCATTCTCGAATAAGTCACTCTCTGACATGTGTCACTCGCAAGTCGCCTCCTCGAATAAGTCACTCTTTGGCAGGTATCAGGTGCTATTGAATAAATCACTCGCGGGCTAGGGAACTTTCGCTTGGAGGGTGCTCTCATATAAGTAACTCGGGGCTCCCATAAGTCACTCGCTCGCAAGTGTGTGCACAGTGACGGACTACCCCCGCTCTTTATATACCCTATACTTACTAGAGTTTGGATCTACTGCCGCAACCATCTGACGGCGGATCCTTTAGGTTTCGAGTCGAGTATAGGGCTCAACCCATACCCAACCCGAACTCGAGTTTTTGGGTTCTACCCGAACCAGATTGGAGCCCTATGTGATGTTGATGTCATAACTATGTATGTTATAACAAAGAGTATGTTTGTGCATAACATGTCTTGCATCCTAGAATAAAATCTTCATCATGATCAAGTTAACATGCACATTTGCTTGTTATTGATCAAACATATTTTCAACATTCAAAACATTTATTTCATAATGAATGAACATAATATAAAACTATTATTTATCATAGCATATTACAATGTGTAATTCATTCACTCAGACATTCTCTAACAATATATCTGAACAACATTATGAATGATGATGTGACTGTGCTCAATCCATAAATATTACAATTATATCATGATAACTTTTGAATCCAGCAATATAGAACGTGCATATTCAATTTACTACAATCAACGTATAATATATTTTTTAATTCTTACCCTAGGATGTAAAAATTATGAATTTTTTGCATGATAAGAATATTAGCAATTGTGAATTGAATCATCTCTTCGTATGTAAGAAAGTTCTATTCGCCACACCTCTCTAACAGTCAAATCTCAATGACAATTGAAGATATGGCCTAATGCGGATCCGATTGGCTTCTACTCTCTTCAATTCTGATTGTTTCAGACACAACTTCTATTATGCAGTTATGTGAGTTTTTCTCTAACTCCCTTTGCGTATGGAACCCTCGACTTTGATCGATGGAGGTGGTGTCCCATGCAGAGACAACAGGAGTGGCACATTCCGAAAACCACTGTGTATTCGGGATAAGTAGGTGGGAGACAACCAGACAGTACAGTATTAGCAGTAAGTACGATCAGATTAGAGCAAGCGCACTTGACCTCCATGCTGTGTGAGCAAGTGTTCACTCAAGAAGGGCAAGAGTCGGAACCTTTGATTTACAGAACAGAATGATTGTTTACGTCGAAAGTCCAGCAGGTGGAGGAGGAGGTGTAAAGGAAAGGTGAGGTCCGCGGTCAGTGTAACTTCTACCTCCGATAGCCGTCCGTTGCCGTTGCCGACCACCGGTGTCAGGCGCGAGCGGGCACGGTGGGGACCGTGGGTTCCACTCTGGATCCATCGAGTCCGTCCCGGACGTACCGGTCAGAGATATTATTCACGGTAAAAGGCTCCGGAAAAGATCCTGTCACTCCAATTGTCGATTTGGCACAGCTGATTAAATCCACCGGCGAATGCACACGCGCCATGTGGCAGTGCAAAAGATCTATACCCCTGGTTTTTTTATCCTGTACCGAGGAGCATATGGAGCAACTGGATTCGTATACTCCGGAATTGACTCGTGCACCGCCGCATCGGAGTGACAATTAGATTCAGAGAATTGCTCAGAGCCGCACGATGGGGGATCCAACCACTTTAATGAGACGCAAGGGGGAATCTGCAGTCCAATCTATTTATCGTTTATTGTTGATTATTGATCTCCGGGCACTTTTACCGTGGCCTTTGGGAGCGAACAGGAGTAGACTTAGGGTTGCTAACTACTACTGCCCCTTCCTCGAAGTGCGGAGTCCTAAAACTCATCGCTCCGCGTGTGCTGAGTTCTGAGCCCCGGGGCATTCAATCGCTCTAGATCCATTCGTGCTCGGATTTGAAGCCCGACAATTCTGAACCCGACTCAGGTACGGAGGTTAACAGCTGCGTGCTGACGGAGTGTGCTGTTGTGAACTTGTAGCTGTGTTCGGAGTTGGGTTTGGAGCTGGTTGCATTTTTTTTCCCGAGTTTGTCAGGTCGGTCTCGTTGGCATTGATGTTTGGTGTTGTAATTCGGTCGGGTACTTTGTGTTTGCGTCGCTGCTTGGTGATTTTTTGTCGCGCGGCCTTGGATGATCGAGCTGATTTCGAGTTTTGATTTTGTAAAGGGTGTGTTGTCTTCGTTGCTTGTAGTGCTCTGCTGAAGGTAAAGGTGAGATTCCTGTATTGGGCATGGTGGTGGTGCTTGTTCTGTTCGTGGAGTTTATTTGTAACTCGTGATTGTGATTTTTTGTAGGTGTGAAATCGTCGAAGAAGCCATGGCGTCCGCTTTGCTGGAGGTCTCTATGACGGCCTCTGCTGCCGTCAGAGCAAATGCGCAGGTGCAGAGACTAGGGGATCTCAGGATCGGAGAGCAGATCGGCTTTAGAAGCATGCAAATGAGAGGCGTGAAGCTCGCAATTCCGCAGCCTCTTCGATCGACCCGCGTGAACAACTCCGTCAGAATATCTGCCGTGACTGCTGAATCATCCTCTCCAGGTCAATGTTTCTGAAGTTCGCTGGAATTCTTAATTATTTTTTTATAGGCTGTGCTGCTCCGCGACGGCTCATTTATATCTAGTGGTTCTATCACCATCCTATCTCTCTCATCTTGTGTTACCAAGTTATGCCTAGGTGTAATTTTGGTATATATTGCTGAAAGTTCGTTGTGTGCTGGATTAGTGTTTCAAGACTCTTTGAAGAGGGCTGTTGCAAAGAAAGCAGTGGAATTGGTGAAGCCGGGAATGATCGTTGGCCTGGGAACCGGCAGTACAGCATCAATGGCTATTGAAGAGTTGGGCAAGCTCATTGCAGCTGGAAAGGTCGGGATGACTAGCTTTTAGTACCGAATCGCTTGAAACTAGCATTGAACCTGCTGGCATTCTACTTATTCCGTTATATGACACAAATTTGTATTACAAACGCCTGAATCTGGATTCTACGGTCATGGTGCAGCTGAAAGACGTCATGGGTGTGGGCACAAGCTACCAAGCGAGAGTCCTCGCCCGACAATTCGGAGTGAAGACGGTGAGTTTCTAACGGGCTCTGTAATCAGGCATGGCTTTCAACTTCCTGAGGAGTTTGTCAGGAGCCTTTGGGAGCTGTGGAGTTGGGGTGGAATTTTGAGTGACAGTGGAGTCTTCTCTCCTCAAGTGGAGTGTCAGCTGCTTGTAGTACGCACTTAGTAATACTTCGCAAGTAATTTGTGTAATACATACAGTCCTTGCTGTATGACTTGAAATTGTCTGGATGATTTCGGCATACAGGTAGATTTGAACGATGTCAATGTCATTGACATTGCGTTCGATGGAGCGGACGAAGTTGATGGCCAGATGAATCTTATCAAGGTGAACATTGCAGTGAATTTGAATTTTTCCTGCGAACTAGGTGCATCATGAAGGTGGTTTTTTGTTTGCTAAAGATAGCACGCTTAGCCTGTTGTTGATATCTTGCCTCTTGAACTGTAGTGTCATTTTAAGCATTGAAATTCTTTCCACTGAGGCCTTTTGTTTAAACCATTCTTGAACAGGGTGGTGGAGCGGCCCACACCATGGAGAAAGTGAGTGTTCTTCACTTATTTCATTAATGTTCAGTTTTGAAACCTCAGATATCTCTTAAAGTAGCCCAGATTTGGAAAGGCTTTCCAACTGTAATGCTTATTAACATTAAGGGAATGTCCTATAGGTGCTCTCAAGACTCCTTCGAAAAGTGATCTGTACCATTACCATCACCTTACAGAATGCGTTTGATCTCGTGAACAGGTCGTAAACACCATGGCGAAGAAGACTGTCATCCTGGTCGATCAGTCTAAAGTGGTCTCGGAGTTGGGTTTGACTTTCCCCGTGCCGGTACGTTCCTTTTTGGATAACTTCCTCATCTGTGCGACAAGCATAAATTTAAATTCAGTTTGAATTTTATCTACTGCTGTCGCACTGCTCCTCTAGTACCAGAGGATCGAGATTATTTGAATGTGGTTTCCTGTATTTGTTTGGCACTGCAGAATGCTTGATCTTGAGAATCAGGTTTTACTGAAGTTTCCCAAGCCTTCATGTCCTCTTTTTTGCAGGTTGAGGTTCTCCCCTTCGCCATTTCTCCCGTGTTGCGCTCGTTGGTAGCCCTCGGAGGGGAGCCGGAGATCAGGAGTGCCTTGAGGAAAGATGGTCCGGTGATCACAGACTTGGGCAACATGGTTGTGGATGTCAGGTAATGTTCTAGCGCCAGGGTTTTAGTGTCATGTACTAAGGTGATGCACGAGGGTGGGTGATTGGCGTGTTTATGGAAGACTGACGCTTCTCATTGGGTTTTTGCAGATTCCCGGGAGGTATTAAGGACCCAGCTGATCTTGAACGCCGTATCAACATGATTCCAGGGGTTGTAGAAAACGGTTAGTGCCATTTAGCTCAATGGTGATGATTACAGTCGACTCCGTCGACCCAATTTTTTTTTTTTAATTTCATCATTTCAAATTTTGTTTTTTTGTCATGTGACCTTTTGGCATCGACGACGTCTTAATAACAAATCACTGCTAAGCAGAGTTTAACCGATGGTGATGTTTTCAACAGGACTTTTCGTCGGAATTGTGGAGACAGTTTTGGTGGCAACGAAGGATGCCGAGGAGACTGTCATCATTGACCTTGCAGACTACGTTAAAAACCTGCAACAAGCGAAGAATGATGCAGCTGAGGAGAAGGCCTCTTCATCATAGAATTGGAAAAGTGATTTGTCATTAGTTAGAACTTAATTTACAGGTGTCCACCTGAGACGGCGCTCTTTCAAGGTTACACAATTTTGCTTCCAGATTGAAAATGGTTTTATCAGAATCTCTACCTGGTACTACTTGACCTATCCCCGTAGATATAGACTCGACCTCCTAGTTGTGACTTTATAACCGTGACCATTAGCAGATATTACACTGCTGTTTCTAACAACCTCCCTCTAACAACCAATTGGTTACTGTAAGATGTGTTCTTCATAAATCCAGATCTGGACGGACAACCCCAAGACGGGAAGCCACATGATGAGATGTGAAGCTGCGTTCTGTTGCAAGTAATAAAGCAGTATAGATGCGTCACATGGATGTTAGACGAAAAGTCAAAGCTCCGAGAAGAAGTGTACACGTACATAAAAGCATCGCCCCTCCCACCGTATATATGGAATCTATCACGTGCTCGTGTCCCAGATTTCGTTTTGGGGAAATGTAGGAAGGTATCGCAGATATTTCTTTGATTGATTTGTATTGCTGCTGTACCCTCGTCAGTTTAGGAAAACGTGTATATACCGTGTGTAGTTCTGCTTAGTGCAGCTTATAAACACCGACAATTGTAGTCCACTCTGGTGTTGGAAGTTTTGCTGGTGGAATTTGCGCATCATTATTAATGCATTATGGCAGAAGCGTGTATCTTGTCTCAACACGTAAATCGAAGTGTGAAAGTAATTCGTGCCAAATTGTTGTATCTTAAGCACACTATACGAAAGTATGTGAAACTGCAGTTTGCAGTGTGCTTGCGGATGTAACGGCGAAGAAGAAGCGTTCCACTGCGATTAATAGGGCGAGCTGCCATCGCACATGCAGTTTACACCGAAGGTAGTGGTGAATCCCAAATCACCGTCTATAGTGACAACTGTCACGAAGAATTCGCGTAAGTTTAAAGTACTCAAACTCTGCAGCACACCGATTAATGAAACTTGCTTGATGGAAAGGATTCCATCGAGTTGGTTGGAATTTCCATTACCTTAATAATAAGACAGGCTAATGACTGCCAAAGTAATGATCAAACGATCTGACTAAAATACACAGGCTCACTATCTGTAGGAACTGGCCGCTGTAAAACAATTGTTCGTACACCTGAAGCTGTTAATACCTCGATCTTATGAAGGGGTTTGAGCCTGCAAAAGTGCGAACTGATTCTTTCAGGACAGGTAAGTGGAGAACGAAATGAAATAGGAACAAGTGCTACACAGTAGCAATAACCAGACGTTCACATGTGGAATGTGCAGGATATTTTAATGTTGGGCATCTTCACGCCACGCAGTAGGTAAGAACGACCGTGAACGACAAGCCGACACAAAGCCTCCCTTTGCAGTTTTTGATGTTCACGCCCAGGCAGACTATCATTCAGCCGATGACACGTCGTCGAACCTTTTGCTCGAGTGGCGATTTGTGTCTTAGACACCTCTTCTCAGGACTTCCACGTGGGAACGATTTCATTGAGTTCGGCCATGTGCATATACATATGACTTGTCTTGGTTACATCACCACCGCGTAGCAGTTCTTTGAAAATGACAGAGGTCGCTTTGCCTGAGTTTTAGGATGCCAGTCTCCCGTCTAAACCAGTACGGTTAACCTATGGATTCTTAGAGTGGTAGCTATTATATGATGAAAAAGGTGATAGATTCAGTCTTGTTGTATTGGTAGATACAAGCATTCACGTGTAGATTATTCGCTACAGCAGTTAGGCCGCACTCGAAGTTTCGCCAGGTCCATTACGAAACGTAGATCCAATTCGTCAAGTTAACTTTAGTGCTCTTCTGTTGAAGTTTTTTAGTTACAAAGTGATATGGGCTTGTTTGTGATCTGATTCTGTCTGTACAGTCTCCAATATTCTTTGTGCTTAGTATCAGCATTCTTCATTGTAAAATTGAAGAAAAACTAACTTTTGATGACCTAGCGTTTTTCAGGTGGTACCAGTTGGATATTTATTGATTGAGGTGAGTTTAGTTGTGCAAAATGAATCAATGTTTTTGTGGTTTTGAACAAGTTCGCAATCATTTGATGTAATTTGATGCTCATTGCTGTTTTCAAGAGCTATTTTCAAGGGGATTTTGAACGAGAAATTTACTGAATATTGATCCAGTGAATTTATGATGTATTGTATACAAGGTTAGGAGTTAACTCAAGTTTGGTCAACTATAGTGAGCTCAATCATAGTTAGTTAGCCTAGTTAGCATTTCATTATAAATGTGTATTAATTTTTGCTAAAGACCTACAAATGATATCAGAACGATAGACGCCAGACAAATAACCTTTTGAAGCGTTCGAAGAGACAGTTTTGGTTGAGTTGAGTATCTTGAGAAGTGAAAATTGAAGAGGTCAGGGAAGATATCCAGCGCGAGGAGGGGATTGAATGAAGGTAAAGACAGTTAATGAGCATGAGATATTCTCGACTACTCTTCATGTCATGCCGAGAAGGTGGATAGTTTGGAAAATCTTGCTCTGATCTTTTCAAAAAAGTCAAAATCTATGCAGGCATCATCACGGCCGTGGAGCTTCTTCGAGATGCACTATCGAATAGAACATGAGAGGAGCTAACGAGCATGCAGTGTACTTGGGGCTTTGCTCATTTGGAATATAATCCATCAAAGCCACGAACTACTATGATGCTTTGATGATTTACTGCTAGTAAGTTAGAGTGAACCTTCAGAGTATCGAAGTTCATTGGCTCAACATTCTATAGGCTTGATCAGAAGACATTGGACAAAAGTCTCATAGACTCAAGTGAAACTGAATTCAAATGTGTGACAAGATAAGTTCGACAATATTTTTTATTGATCGAACCTAATTTTGTTGTTGCTTGATCATCTCAACTTTTCCAAAACCTATGTGATCGTGAGTTTCAAAATATAATTCGTTTGGAGATGAAAAGTTAGATTAATCTTACACACATGTCCACTAACACTAGCTAGAATTTTAGTGTAATGGTCCACATCACGATTCGAGTGTAAAGAATTTAATGGAAAATTTAGAATTAGGAGCCAAATTATTTTTGAATCACATTGCAGTTGCGCTAAGTGAATTTCTCATACATTATGAAGGCAAGATCATTAAATATATCGAGCACTAAGTTGAATGTGAACTGTGAAATGCTTTGGTTTCGAATTTCTTGCCTTGTGTTGGCAAGAAAAAATTTAAAACTAGATCTAGGTAAAGGAAAACAATTTTTGGTAAATAAATATCACAATGTTGGAATTGAATCAAAGCGGATCACCTCAACGAAGATTCTCGTGAAAAATCTAACCATTCTTTTTTAGGAAAAATTTTAGATCACAATGAAGATGATTTGCTGGCCTAAAACTATGCTCTATAGTGCCAACTATATAAACTTTGGACTCTGTCTTAAAGGAGAGTAAATGAATGGATTATGGATTGTGCTTGTTATATTATATGTGTTAAAGGGAAAAAAATACACAGTTTCCACTCAGTATCTAATCATTTAGTTTTGATGGAAATAATCAATCATGTTAATTTTAAAATAAAACATATGTATATTCAAATTGAAACTGTCAAATTTACCTTTGATACGAAAACAATTTACCTTTTGATATTTCAGACGTGTTTGATCATTGATAAGAAGTAGTTGATTGTGTACTTCAATTTATGGCTAGAAAAACGTCATTTTGAAAGAACTAAACACAAAAATGTGTATTTATCATAGTTCAACACTTCTTGTGAAGAAGTTTATGTTTTTTTAACGTCATGAATAAATACTAATTACTTTGGAAATTAAGAATTAATCGCATCAGTAAGAAGAACCTATTGATTAGTAACAAAAATCTTATCTCTACACTGGGATCTAGTTTCTTTTGATTTTTTTTATAAGTTACTTTATATTGAAATGGTTTTGCAATTCATAATTCCAACGAAATTTCTGAATATATACATAACGACTTGTGGGACTCATCTCCAAATTCTTATACTAAAGATATATGAAATGTATTGTTCATCATTGATTATTTGAGATTTTTTTGAATTTGTAAAATAAATCTGAAGTCTAAGGTCTTTATTCTTTTCAAAAAATGAAAACAAAAGCTATGTGATGATTTTAAGAATTCGCAAGTATTCAAAAAAAATGTGTTTGATCTCTGAAAAAAGTCAGTATTGAAGATTTTGGTTTTTTAATTCTAGTGTTCTATGTGAATGACATGCTCATTGTAAGTAGAAAGAAATCCCATGTTAATAAGTTTAAAATTGAGTATGAAAAGAAAGATCTCGGTGTAGCAAGGTGCATATTGGATATGGCGATCAAAAAAAATAATGATATAAAACTCATCAATTTATATCATCTGGTGGTGCTCAAAGTATGAAGATGAACAACTTCTTCACTTGGAATATTCGGCACAAAAATCTACTTGCACATTTTGTCAAGTTTGGGCACATTCTTTTTCGACCATAAGTAGCGTAAACTTGGGCAGTTAGCCGAATGCATTCTTATGTATAGTTGCTATATTAAGAGACATATAAGCTTTCCACATCAGATTGCAAGGTTGTGTATCTACGATGTGTCTGGTGCAACTGCCATAGCTAGAACCGTCCACAGAGCGCTTAGACCTCTGATGAGTTGCTCACAGTTCCCAATGTTTCTGCGTACTCGTCCAGAGCAGAGCTCACAGACAGAAAGGACACAGGGTTGTTGTTTTGAAGATCGAATTGTCCCCTGAATCCATTTTAAAGGGAGAGTTTGTATTCTTCAACCATGCTTTGAAGTTTGCGTTTCAGCATAATTGTGTAAAGTCGGAGGTGTCAGTCCAGGTGGGTGCCTTAAGTAGCGAGAGGAAAAATACATGCCAAGAGTCGATTTGGTTATAACGTCGCTTGATGGAATACCGATTATTCACAATTGTTGTCGGGTTTAGGAACTAGGACATAGCAGACAACCAGAACTAAACTAAACTAAATTAAACTAGACCAGATCGAGCTGTTCTAGTTCCACAAAAGCTGCTGGACAAAATTTTTCCACGGAATACTCTTAAGGCGGTTTAAAGTGCTAAGTTATTTGCTGTACTTCGTAACGCAGTCAATGAGCAGCAGATTGGGTTCAATTGTTGGCTACCTGAAACTGTGTTATATTTCTAAATGAAATCGTCGGGCCTATAGATGTATACAAAATACAATTCCTGCATAGTGGCAATCTATTTGCAACTGCTATACAAACGCATGACATCATGTCCACTATGTTTTCTGCAAGCTTCTACTGATTCAAAGGCTTCTGGTCAGTTCCTCTGCACATGAGTTTCGGGAGATTTGGATCGACCAAGTTTCTGCTTTCACGTTGACTTCTACAATCTACGCCCACGAGGTAGGCAAGATGGTGCCGACAGAAATGAGGGAATGTACTGTTCGGTAGAATAAATCTCTCATCCTTCTCTGCTTTGTCTGCCGTCGGGATTCTGTTGAGGTTCCAGAACATCTCAAGCACCTGTTTCAGTGGCTCAGCTGGCAGGAGCGCAGAGCGTAGGACGAGATTGTCAGTTATTGGCGGACTTGAAAGATCTACTATCCTCGTTACCCAGTCTAGCCGATGGCTTGGAGCAGAAGGGGAGATCAAAGACATGCTCTCGCTTTGGCAAATCCTTGATTACTGTGATTTGCTCTACTGAGGAGCGACGTGTCGAGTCGGTGCTTCTGACCAGTGATTGAAGGATACTAGCGGGCTCGAAACCCATCAGGTTGACATACTTCAGGTGCTTGAGCTTTCCAAGATCAGGAAGGGGCGAGCCCTCAGTCGGTGGGTTGGTAGACTTGTCCCGGTCTTGCACCACACAGAATGACATCGATAGAGTCGTCAGGAGCTGCAGATCCTGTATTTCCACCGCGAGAGCTTTCAGGCCCGAGCAGTAGTCCAGCTTCAGCTCTTTCAAAGACTGCAACTTTCCAATCTCGGCCGGCAGGGATCGAAGTCCTCTACATTCCACCAGGGAGAGCGTCTGCAGTTGCTGTAAATCTCCTAGCTCCCTGGGAAGTGATTTGAGGGATGTGCAGCTGGTCACGCTCAGCTCCTTGAGTACCTCGAACATGCCAATCTCCGGAGGTAGCTCCTTGAGTTTGCACGATCTGATTTCCAACGCTGTCAGGCTTTTACAGTAAGGAGCTAACTCTGCTGGCAAGCAAGTTAGATTCGGACAGTCCTCTAAGGTTACAGATTTCAAGGCTGGCATGGAGTTAAGCTTCGCGACTCGCTTTGGATTGGGCAGCGGAGTACAGTCCAGCTCTTGGCATTGGAGGTTTCGACAAGAGATAATCTCCAAGTTGTTCAAGCGCTGAAGTTTGCTGATGAGCTTGGGTATATGATCAAAATCTGCACAATTCTGAATGGAGAGATCGAAAGGGACGAAGCCCTTGCGCTGCTCAGGTATATTAAATTTACAGATTCCCGGACATTCTTCCAGGTGAACGGATTTGAGAATTTCTGATTCGAATATGGAAAGAGCTATGGAGTCCACATGCTGGCAGCGTATCAAACTAAGGTTCTGCAGCTGGAAAGGTATCTGAAACAGCAGCCACCTTCATATTAGATATAACATTATAGAGATGCTTACAATAATGTTTAGATGTCCAGAAACCTCACAAGCCCATGCATTCCAGCCTTTACCTAGTTATATAAAAAAGAAGATCACTGGGGCAGCTAATGCCAAGAAATCTTAAAGGATAATGGCAGGCCTGTTTTCTTATGCTCCAGTCACGGTTACTACACATGCACATTTTCCCTGATGTGAGCAATCAGAATGAGTTGATATTTAGTAGCTTACCTGGAACTTTGTTGTACCCAAGTCGACGTCCGTCAACACCAGGGTCTGCAGATTCGGTAGGTTTCCAGGGGTAAATGGAAATCTGTTCTTGCTCATCGATCCCCAGTAAAGATAATCAAGATCCTTCTGGGCTTCTGTAACGATGCCCTCCGTGTGTTGAATGTTGTGCAAGATGAGGTCATGAAGGCCCTTGATACTATCGAGCCATCGCATCTGGAATTTTCCTTCACAATCTACCAGCCCCAAGCTTCGCAGGTTTCTGGATTTCTGAATTACAATCAACAGAAGAAGATGTCACGCCTCTACCAATGCTCGAAGGATTTTTGTACAAAAACGGCCGAGGAAAAACGACAGCATATGCTCTGTGACCTACGGGTACGGTATGAAATAAACACAAAGGACATATCGTTGCAAATTAACATCACAGTGACAGTCACGGTGTGAATGCCTCTTCCCTTCCGCAGGTCATCAAGAATAATTCTACAACTAAATTGCAATTCACAACGCCGACATGTACAGATATTCATTTGCTTACCCCCTTCGAGAGCTCGAGAAGTTGTTTAGGCATCGGAGAATTCACGGCGTGTAGATGCAGAAGCTTAAAGCCGTTGATAATGCGTGCATTGTCCCGGAGTTCAGGGTCAGCTTGAACAATCCTCGAATGTTTGGATGACCTGCGATCACACTTGTTCATAAGGATGGCCACATCGGTCCAGGTACAGGCTTGATGGGGACTACTCAAGATCGAATCTCTGATTGGAAGCACGTGCCCGGAAGAGACGAACTTCTTGTCTTTCAGTTTCCTCAAAATGTCTTTTCCAAGAATGGACTCTACAATATGCCAACTCCAGCCGTCGAATATATTCGAGATGTCGGTGAAGGCGTCTTGACATTCTCCCAGCTTCATCTTGTACAGGAGTTCCATCTTCTGTGCAAATCGAGCATACATCCCGATCTCATCCGCTGCTGAATCATTTTTGGATTTGGATGTGTGCTCCTTCCACATCCCGTTCAGCATTTTCTGGCTGAAAGCACTCGAGTGCATGACCTCCAGCTTCTTCAAGGTCTCGGTCCAAAATGACAGAGTCCTGGGCTGTGTCTGGAAGAACTTCCCAAAAGTGACCAACAGTCTCGGATTGCCCTCGCATCGTTCAACGAGGTCGTGAACCGCATCATTCCTGGTCGTTTCATCCGCGTCAGGAGGACCTTGGGTATACTCCTCCAGGAGAGTCCTGGCATCCACGTACTGCAAACCATGCAACGTGAATTCCTTGAGCCTGCATCGGGAGCTGGGAAATATGTGTTTGATCTGATCATCCGCCCTACTTACAGTACAGCTGATGTCCTCGCTTCTCATGGAAACTAAGACGCAGCTGTCCGATGGCAGGAGTTTGGAGAAGTCATCAGGAAGCGTTTCCGAGAGCAGTGATGTCTGCGATGGAAGGTTGTCAAAGGATATCAACAATTTCCGTGCCTGACGAGTACTGGACTCCTTCCAGTCTTTTAAAGCCTTCCGTATCTTTGTTTTTCCCACATCTGTGGATGTCAGTCCTTCAGTACACCGATCATCAGCCATCTTTTCAATGAGCTGCCGCTGGCACAGTAATGCTGTTTCCCGACAAGAACCTGCAGTACTGCTACAGTCGATTTGTAGAAGCTCGATCCTGAAGCCACTCTCGTCGAATTCATTGTTTGCAGCCTCTTCGTTGTACTCCGAGTATAATGTATGAAGTAATTCTCTGGCCAGTCGGCTCTTCCCGGCCCCTGGTGGTCCGAGTATTTGTACAACGGAGATATGCGGCCGAGCATCTGCGACAGGGTTTCCTTTCACAAAAAGCTTCAGCTCATTGATCGCTCGATGAAACTCACTCCCCACGGCGGCCTTCTCTACTAAGTCTGGGAGAATGTTAGCCCGAGCTCGGTCTTCATTCATCAGGTCCTTTACGAACTTCTCTAGCTTGCTTATACAGTTGTCGAGACCTTGCAAGTTGGCTGGTGGTTTCATGCAACTCCTTAGTGGTCCCGCAAATCTTCCTCTGTTTCAGCCATGATATAAAAGCAAAAAACTCCAGACTCAGAAAAGCTTGACGAAGAAAATTTGATCTACTACAAAGGCAGCAGGGTGTCGTTTCCTTCATGAAAGACGAGAAGTGTCCACCACAACCTGCTTCTAAAGTTCGTACACACTGTTGAATAAAATCATGATGCTTACGGCAATCCAGACTTTGCGTAAGTCAGAAGGGTTCAAAGTCAATTTAGAGCTGGGAAATTCAGGCTGTGACTAACATACGTCCAGAATATGCAACCAGACAGTTGCTGGTCTGCAGCATCAGCACTGACGCCCTCAAGTATTTGTGTGCACTCTGCAAGCAGCAGAACGACCTCCTCCTCCCAAAGCGTTAGGAGGCTCTTCTGCTCGTCCAGGCTATCAGTGCTACAGGCAAATCTCCGTCTCTTTCTTTCGAAGATGTTCCAGATTTGGTCAGCGTACTTCTGCACGAGCTCAGCTCTCTCATCCAGCTCCTTTACACTGTCAGCTCGTTGCTTCATCAACCTGATGATCTTGAATACCAAACCGTATATTCCAGCTTCCCCTGCTGCGAGCATCAAGTCGTTCACAATGGATCTCACAGTTTCGCAGGCAGCTACATTGCCCAGATTTCCAGCAGGTCTCGTCTGCTAGGAGAGGTATTCATATTAGGAGCTTTACCACATTCATCACACAAATTGTTCCGAAGAGAAGGCCACATCTTAAATATTTAGACAGGAAGCCGCTCACTTCTATCTATCCCTTGCAAAACCAAAGTAATTGGTGGCCGAGGAGGTGACAGCATTCTGGTTACAAGACAGATTGTCCTGATTTTCCTTTGTTCTAGACGACATTTAGCTGCTTCGTTACCTGGTCGTAGCGGCGGTAGAATGTGATGGATCTGTCGATTGCATCAGCCAGGCCTGGGGCTTCTTCTTTCGTGGGCAAGCGCTTCGCGACCGCATGCTTGTTCTTTATCGGAGATGCAACCTGAGTTGCTGGAGAAGAGGACTTCGCCATGAGTGATTGGTCTTCGAACAGAAGAGCCTTCACTTCAAACTAATCCAGCACTCTGGCCAGGTGTTTGACGACCTGAGCAAACAGCCAGGACAAAATTTCAATGTCGGAGTCCTCGAGGGCGGGTACTCCCCAAAGCAAATCCTTCCAAGTAAATGTGAAATGTGAACCCATGGAGATATTAAAACATGCAAAAGTTTGTCTGGAACCCCACACACCTATGAAAGTAAACATGGGCAACAACTGGGAAGTCCGAGACCTGGTCAACTACCATTGAAGATATTCTCTGTTTCGCACCTTCGCCGTCAAGCATAAGTCAATAGGGAACAATTTCATCTGCGACATGAGCGTTGAAATGGAGGTCAGGACCTGTCGATTAGCTTAGTAAGCAGGGTTTAGATGATGCCAGGAATATCGATCAACTCATTCACCTGCTCGACTCCTTTTGCTTACTGGAGAGGAGAATTCAGCGAGCTCCAAATGTAGAGGTTCCACCATGCCTCAAACAGGGATGGGCAGCGAAATTCGATATACCGCTACAGTTTCATTGAAATTGTTCGAGAGAATTTCCAGATCCGGATTGAAGAGACAGCTGAAGGAAGCTGCTAAGATCCTGTCGAATCCCACGAGCCGTCAACGCCACAGATACCAACTGGCGATGGACGACGCACAATATGCACCCTATCGAGTCTAGTCTCTGACTCGCGACAACTCTGCACGAAAGTTACAGCGAGCCAATTTTACCGAGCTTGCCCTCGACTCTGCGACTGAGAAGACGGAACAGAAAGGAAAGCACAAGACATTCCAGCCAGCGAGAATGTCGATATGCAGCGATGCCCAGAACACATTCATGTTGAGAACCATCGGGACATAAAACTCAAGAAGACAATGTAGAGCCAACAGTACCATGACACAATCGAAGCCTCCGACTGCACGACTGGCAAGCGGAGCCTATTCTGCACGGTCCGAGTACCTTCGAGCGCGTTAGCAGGAGGTCAGAAGAGCAGAAGAGTTCCGGTGGATCGATAAGGCTTCATTCCTCACGAAGATAGCGGCATTGGCTCGATGATCGGTCAGTCATTGACCAAACGCACCAGAGCAGTCGAGCAGGTGAGCGAACACAGTAATCAGAGTTCGTATGAGCCTTGACTCGGAAGTCAAGGGCTTCGGGACTCATAATGACGAGCATCACACCGACTCCCAGGACAATAATGTCGCTAGCGCTAGACATACAGACCAAACTACTCCAGGTTTCGAAACTTTGGCATGACGCTTGCTCGTTCATTATCGGGCAGCGGTTCTCTGTGCACAATAAACATGATCTCGTTCCTGCTGCAAGTGGGACATACGTACATGTACCTCATGCAATCATCTCTCCCGAGTTACAACCTGCAGACTTCAATTTGCTCCTTGAAATCACAACAGTGTCGTCATTGCCTGCTGTACAAATTGGCATCCTTCACATCCTTCCTTCCTACTTAACACCAATCGGAAGTCACTAGCGAGAAACAGTACAACACTAATCATATCGTACACACTGCTTGTGTGCATGAGGGAGGAAGGGCTGCACGGCTTCATGGGCACAGTCGGAATTCCAAGTGCTGGCACGCGGTAGGGCTTGGAAAAGCGAAGACGAAAAAGGGGAAAAAGGAATTGTTTTCTTATAATCTGTCCACCTTATTCTGACGAGTTGATGTAGATTGCCTGACATGAGCTCTGAAACGCTTGCCGTAATCTGATCTCCAAACTATGACTGACGAGACTCACTCCGGCACGAATTCTTCGGATTACAAAAGTTCTAATTCTGGCTGCGATAAGGACTTTATTGTTCTGTCTACATGCATTCTGCATGCCATTATGAGTGTGGGAGGAGACACATGAAGATCCAAATTACGGTTTCGTTGAGACCAGAAATGGATCATCGTAAAGGTGTGGTAGGGTTACCCGGGCCTTCAGTGGCTTGTGTATATGCTGTAAGAGGGTGTTAAAGTTTGTGTTCGAGAGTGATTCTTGTAAACAGCCAGGAAATATACAGATACATCTCATCTTCTGTGGATTTCTATGTTTTCAACCAGACAGTGTGAAGGAGTTGGATAAGCTCTCTCTCTCCCTCTTCCTAATCCTGGTATAACTGATTGCGATTATGTGATTTGTTCCTGTTAAAGTGCCTGACATTTACTCTCGGCGGTCGACACGAGTGTTTGTAAGTGAATATTTTGGGCTTTTGGGCGCAAATTTCACCCTTAGCAATGGTGGTCACAGTCGCTCACACTGCGGTTCACAATTCAGTAAGTGGGAGTCATTGTCGTCAATTATGAAGCGTGGACTACGCTAAGTTTTCGAGAGGTAAGTTGTTGATCAGAGAGGTAGTGAGCCATAGTAAGGGTGAAGAAATCCTGTCACATAGGGGCGCGTGCCAGCATCATCATTTAGTTGGAGTAAGTTTGAAGAGATCACTACAATCTGAAAAGGAGGCTATGGCATTCTTTCCCAATCCTCGTGAAGACCAAGGGAAAGAGATCGCACTCCGACACCAAGTACGAGAACACCATGTTCTTAAGGGCACACTCGACGTGATGGGAGATCATTCTTTTGAGTCATATATTGTCAGAATGGAATGTTCAGCTGTCTGACTGTTAACTTCAGCGCAAGTAGGGACTTTTTCACAGCCTCGATTTGCCACTCTAGAATAGAATGTTTGGAGAGTATAAGAATGTGCCGGGTGGCTTTGTCGATCATGAATCTGTGCAGTTATGATGTGAATGGGGTCTTATGAGTCAAGAAAACACGATGTCATCATACCAGATCCTAACAAGGTGGATTTCAGCGTCTAATTATAAATATAGACTACGTCAACACCCTCCGAAAAGCCTCTGAGTCTATTGTAGTTTTATGAATAATGTCGTTATCAGAGTTTTATGTGATCTCTGTTTCCTCTTATATCGTAAGGCCCATCGGCACGCAACTGCAGCGAGAAATGAGAAAGAGGGATTCATATCCAGAATATGAAGCGCATATTATCAAAATAGCAGAAAGGAATGAGACATCTTTTATTGAATAACTCATTCCAGAGTAGCAGTTGAGAGACTTCCTGCTCCATTTGACCACTAAGGCATAAAAACTATGTGCTTACTGAGTGAATAGATATCTCTTCTGTCTCTGCCAGAATTATCCAGGGATATCTTACCCATAAGGCAAATGTCGAAATGGTGGACCGGGGAGATCCGACAGTGCACTTGTGTGCCACATTGATCAAAAAGTGTTAAAAATGGAAATTAAGGTTTATCCTTCGGTTGGGAGAATTTATTATCACCTGCTAACACACTACAAATCTACTAACTTGGAAATCATTTCATTAATGTAACACACTTTCAAAGTCTCTACTTGTCACCTATATTATTTGAGGCCCATATCATTGATGAAAACGCCGGACTCTGGTAGTGTGTACAGCTTCACAGAGAGCAGATGACCAATATACACTATGATCGATGAAGAACTGCCCATGCACCTGATCTGTCTCTGTTCGGTGCTTGGTGCAAGACGCAAAGTTGGACGTGTCAGAAGGAAGCTATAGCACGTCATGTACGGTCCATGAGCCTTCAGCTTAGAAACGTTCTTTGACAGAATACAGAGATTCGTATGAAGTGATGATGTTTTCCTATCACATACGTCCAATTATCATTATAAATGGGTTGCTATATTTCTCGAATATCATGGGTCGTTGGTTTCCACGAGATCTTGTCGAGAACATGGATCTAAGGGTCAACGGAATGCAATCATGGATCTAAGGGTCAACGGAATGCAATCATATCTGAGTATGTGTACTCTCCTTGTGCTGGATGCATGGACCTAAAATCACTGATTTATGTTGCAAACACCGGCAAAGACTGTCAGAATTTCGAAGATATATGTGTTGCTTGGTCGAACACAATTTCAGTCCTTAACCCACGAAAGTCAGGAAGAAATGCAATTGGTTCTGCAGAGGTCTCGTCAGCTACGAATGTATTGTAGACCGATCGATTACAGTTCGTTTGTTGACGCGGTTCGTCAGGCACTGTGTTCAAATCTCATGGTGTGCGCACTTCAGGGCAGCCGCCGCTCTGTAAGTAGACTAGAAACCGGTTGCTTTTTAAGCAAAGCAGTGCAGGGGATTGATTGACTGTCACACCTAAATGTCTGAAGAGTAAAATATTCTCTGTCTGATGGGATAGTGTGTTACCAAACAATCGGACGTGGATCAGGGTGATGTGGCTCACATTTTCAGATTCCACTGACTATTGAAGCTAGACTTTCCGAACACCTCTGTCTCAAACTCATGCTGTACAAACGAATCTCCTTAGACCAATAGTGAAACCAGCGATCCAGTTTCTGATCATGCCAAATGCTGTTCTTGAAAGACAGTAGGGAATTGAAGTGTCCAGCTGGTTGCAGGTCCTCGTTCCGTACACTAGTCATCCTGTTAACGTTCTGCTTAACGAGAAAGAAAGTACAGACAGAGGTCTCTGTTCGCTTCGATGCTCTATACCGAAGAGACCGCCTGTTCAGGATCTTGGCATCTTGAAATTTCAATAGGAAAAGAATTTAGAACATGGTTTCCAAATGAGAAAACTGTTAGAGTGCAGAATTAAAACACCAAAAGATGAAGTTTCTTCATTGTAGCATCAGCTTCTCTTGGCCATGCTTTCTGTTTCTCGGTCCGTGGATAGCTTCGATCTCGATTTTGAAATGATCTAGTGCATGTCATCGCGCGAGTGCTGGAGTGAAAAGCCTAGCACCTCCTTTCTAGCATGGCCTCTGCAAAACGTTTGAAAAGCAAATGGCAAATAGTTCTTCTCTCTAGGAAGTGGTTATTGTTGCCATCAGACAAGAAAAAATTCTAGAAGACTCGAATCAAAGTTCGGTATATTATGCAAGGCGAGCAACATCCACCGAAGGCAGAAGTAGCAATGGAATTGAAAGGCTTCTTAAAACCAGCAGAGATTTTTGCCTTTTCCTATGGTGCTTCTGTTGTTCTACGATGGCTTCACACTAGATAGTAGTGTCAGGGTTGAAGGAAACATTTGAAAAATAGCGCCAGGCATATTTGGTGCTCAGACTTTACTCCAATTTTTTATTGGAGAAGCCAAGGGTCCACACATATAAGCTTCTTTCATCTTAATTCATGAGAGTTTAGATTCTCTCAGGAAATCCTTCTTCTTTCCGATGGGATTCTACTTTGCATTTCGGACAGATAAATAAAATATATTTGTCGTTCAAGTTGTCCGCACAGCATTGTAACCCATCCTTCTCAACATGAGTAGGGGATGACCAACTTATCTAAGGTTACTTAAGTAGGGCTAATATAAGCTTAGATAAGCCTTCGTTATCTATCAATCTAAGTAAAGCATTATAATAGTGTTTTTTAAGAGTATTCAGACTGCATGGAGGAGTTGGGCCGACTTTGGTTCCACATTATTCGTCATCAGTGTCCTCGTCTGGTGGCAAAGAGGTCACCGTACTGAATGTAATCGGGTGATTTGATATCGAGGAACCAGCAGTAGCCGCGTCCATGTCGGGCTCAGGGTCAGAATACTCTCATTCGAATCGCCGCCGTGAACACGTGAAGCACCATCAGGAATGCTCAAACGCTGGGGTGAGTTCGAGCTGCGGAACAGCTCCGGCCGGCAATAGCGATTGTGCGATTCGAGTGACGTTGAAACGTCACAAACATCGCAAGTGGACATGTTTAAAACCACAAATCTTGGCAAACCTTTCCATGCGAGGCCTCAAACAACCGTGCACAAAAAGTATCAAGGTACTCTCAATAAATGTGCTTCGCAAATGATATCTCGGTTTTTGGCATTTATCAACTTAGATTGTATATGTGATTATCCTAAGTTTATGGATCTCAAAAGAAGTTTGATATAACTAACATGTACATCATCTCCTATAATATTTTTGTCATCTAACAGTGCAAAAGTCAATTTGGATAACTATACTAGTAACTCGCAACAAATCACTATCATTAATGACAATTATTGCTTTTCTCGAGCAAGGAAAGTGAATTTTAATCATGTGTTGTAGAATACTTGTGTATATGAATGAAATATGTTAATGAATTTCAAGAACTTTGTTGCTCTAGAGTTAGTGAAATCTATTCTTATATTCTAAATTTTACATTTAAAAAAAGGTATTCCAGGAAAAATAAATAATAGACTAATTTAGTCGATGAATTTGCTGAATACTAATAAAGTGAATTCTTGCTCGTTTTTAGCTTTATTCTTTGGACCGATGAGTTAGAAACTATGCTGGAAATTCACTATATGATATTCCAATTATTGTAAATCGAAGACCGAATAATATGCTATAAATGTACATTCCATGAAAACTTAGAATACCATAAGATGTAATATATTCTTTGTGAAATTATAAACGTCAAATATCAAATAATTGAAAGAGTGACAGTATTTTCTTATCAAGGCTTTGAATCAATTATATATGCTTCAAATGTTGCCAATTGCTATGTAAAATCATGATTTGTAAAAAATGTACGTGCTTTATGATATTGAAACTTGCTAATTTTGATCAAAATTATTTGTATAAATGATTGAGTAATATATATATGTATAAATATATTATTAAGCATAACAATGAATATCACTTTGAATAACTTAGTAGTTGTATTCTTTTCAAATATCAAATGTAGTTTTGAACATTTGATCAACGGGTGAGGTATATTTCAAATAAGATTTCTATTTTATTTGACATATCTAAAGTATCAATTTCATAATAAATTTTGAATATCAATAACTAAAATGTGTGTAATAATATGATTTTTAAGGTTTATCAATATGGTTTATAGATGAGTACTCAAAATCATTTCTTTATGATAACAAAAATCCAACAAACATATAGTCTCATGGAGATATCAAGAGTTTGGAGGTGTTTAAAGAGTTTTGAAAGCGTTTAAATTATTGAAGACACTAGATTACTTTCTTAGATATACTTTAGATTTTCTTGTTCTACGTAGTGAGTAGTTATTTACTTGATGGTACCTCATCAAAATCTAAGTTGTTTGATGGGATCTATCAAGTTTCGTTTTACCCGAGGGAATCCCATCGACGTCACACTTGCGAACTTCTAAGAGTTGTTTCTGTGCAGTAAAGCTTGCATCATATGCAAGGGTTGAAGGGTGTAAGGGTGGAGCGGAGTACTTGTGAATTCAACATTCAAGTAATTTTACAAATTTGGTGCAATGCGAAAGTATCGGACGAAGAAGTGTTCGAGTACGATTGCACTGAGTGGAGATTTGAGGGATTGAATGATTGATTAAGATGACAGTCTAGGCTTTCACAGTTCCACTACCTGCACCGTCTATTGTTACTAGAACATGCATGATTTGTAATGTAAGTGGGATTCCATATGGTAAAATGAAACTTAAAGGTACCAATGAGCACTTTAGTTTACTATTGGGTACCATCAAGTAAATACTTCACATAGCGAGTCATATAGCAGTATTGTAGTACATTGCTAAACATAGTATTACTAGATTGTAATTTCGTGATTTAAAAATCATAATCTTTTGGACTGAAATAAAGAAAAACATCTTATAAATACACTTTCATTATAACATGAATAAACTATATTTCTATGTTCTAAAAATTAATATATGATAAGTATAAAAATGATGTGTCAAACTATTCTAATTAAGAATTTGAATGTATAAAAATAATTATATATATAAAATATTATATAAATATATGAAAAAATATTTTATTTTAAAATCAATGCATTAAAATTTGTAAATCGAATATTTATATACTTCAATGAGGCAATATACATCTTTCATTTCACTATAACAGTTCCATGAAAGTAAGTATATATATATATATATATATTACTAAAAAAAATTCTAAATTTTGAAAAATTCTCGTATCAAACAAACTATATGTTTTTGCTAACCAATGTTTCACGTTTACCAAAATTCATTAATTCCCAACTTCCACAATTTATGATTGGATAAATTTTATATTTAGTTTATATACTATATAATAAATGGAATATATGGAATGGAATCCTATGATAATAGGAGTGGGCTCGCTAGAACCAAACATCCTTACATTCACGACTTCGTTAGGTCATATTATTAATTTGTGTCTGGTACGGTATGCTCATGAGCATATGTTGGAGGGAAATTGCAAGTAGGCTTCCTACCCAAAATGTTTGATCGCTGAGTCTCCAATGGAATCTTGGCACATGCCACAATCAATTGACCACGAGGACAGATGGATATTGCTTTTGTCGTTCGGCACTTTATGAGATCACCTCGACAGAAGACTGCAGGAAACATACTACAAGATTCGACATTCAGGTGGTGACGGCAGCAAATGTTCTCTATCCATTCTAATCGAGTCCAATTAAAAGTCGCAAGACAGCGATTTCCTGGCAGGGGACTGCTAATCAGATTTGTGAGGGAGTTGTGAATCTTGCGTCCTCGAATTCTGCAGTATAGCTCTCGAGAAGGCATACTAATGGTGACTGTAAAGACTGGTCACGACTGGTGAACATCGCAGATGTTTGCTCGTTTGATCCAACATTCCATACGATAAACATTGACATGGCCATATGCTGTCCGAGGTACACCTTCGTTGCCATCCAAATGGGAAAACTTCACGAAAACTTCAGCTGCAAATCAAAATTGAAACTTAGCCCAGCCTGGTAGATCCGGACGGTCCCTTCTTTCGGGGAGGCATACCAGCCAACATCCAGATATTGGCTGGGAGGTCATAGCATGGCTTCAGTCCCTTCCATAACATACGATCTTCTGTGGTTACTTTTGAAGAGCTAAACGTAGATTTATTCACTCTGTTCTTTAGTAGACGAAGAGACCGAGAATTTCCTCGACTTGAATGCATGCAAGTCCAAGCCTAAACCAAAACCGTACGCTTCAAGACTATGGGCACTTTGGCTTTCCGACCTAATCTTGCGATCAGAAATAGGATCAGAAAGTCTCACAAACTTACACGATTAATAACTTCTCAAATACGAGGAAGATAAGTCTATGGGGATCGTGAAGTTCTAAATTCTACAGTAGCTCCGGAACCCATTGATAGTGCCTAGTGCGAAAGAAATTCCTCGGTTGGACCTGAAGTGATAACACAGATTGTATTCGGTTCGCGTAAGGCAAATCCGGGCCAGAATCACGGACCGCAATCAATCGGGACTTCAAGATCAACGCCCGGATGACACACATTTTGACAGAAGGAAAAATCAGCAAGCCTTGTTCATACACAAGATTGAAGGTGTGGGCAGCGAAGTAAGTGTTCGCCGTGCACCGCTTTCGTTGTTCAAATATCATAAATCATGCCAGAACTTCAATGTACCCTAGGTTACATGTCACTGCTCGAAAATGGCCCCGATCTAAAAATGCATCTTCAACGAACCCTGAAAAGTGTTTCCAATTTGTCTGCTCCTTTCCTAAGTACAGTAAGTAGGTCGCTTCCAGAAGTTCTACAATCTACACACTGAGAAGAAGCCTTGTAGACCCTGTCAGATGTGCATACGGCTTCGTAGGCTCCTCACTCTGGAAAGAGCGCAATCAGTCTTTGCTCTTGCTGGTTGACTCGATGGCGGCAGCTTCCCTGCGCAGCTCTTTCACCACGGTGGCCAACGCTTCCGGATTCACGCCGTGCTCGCACAACCCGATGAGAATGCTCAGCGTCTGCCTGTCCAGTCCGGAATTGATGATCGACGCCATGGCGTGGGCAAGATTCAAGGCCTCCCTAGCCCTCTCGACACCTGCTCCGTCCATTGCTAGCGGACAAGTTCCCTTTCCGAACTCGCGGATGATATTGACGTCAGCCTCGCAGATCGTATGTTTGAAGGCCGGCCACCGATCTCTCGACGCTCTTGCAACCGTCGTGAGCTCCGCAACTTTTTGGGTGAGGAAGTGTGAGGCTCCGAGGACGAGGCAGTGCGCAGCGTTCGTGCCGCACTCCCTGCCAGTGAATCTTGCTGCGATATTGTGTGATGCGATGTCTACGACGAGTTCTCGAGACTTGAATGCAGCCGCTTGAGGCCCTTACTCGTTTTTTTTGCGGCAAGGAATATGTTCGCTTTCGGAAGCAACTACGCTTCGACTGCACACAACACTTCTACCGATGGGTCTTCGTTCTAAGTTTCCCTGTTCTACTGTTTCATAATAGTCCTTCTTGTCGACTAGAGGTGAAAACCTGCTCCAGTGGGAAGCTTTGGTGTTTGGCACATGTCGGCATAGCTGGAAATCCTCTTGAGTGTGAACCCCAGGCCTTCGAGAGCCCAAGAGTGTACTGGAGTTCTGATCGTGAGTGTAGAGTGCCCGTATAGAGTATTGACTGTATCCCAAGAGCAGTTATTGACTCGAGTGACATTATGCGAGGGTCGCTTGAAAGCACTTCAGTGTTCCCCATGTTAATATGCATAGCAGAAATATCGCTAGTAGTGGATGTAACAGGAAGCTTCACATGCTCGATTCCAAGGCGGGGTGCTTCTTCATGCAACAAGATTCAAAGGTCCGATCCAAGTCTCATCGATCAATCCGGAGACTGTCAGAAACACAATTGACTCGATAAATGAGAATTGAAATGTACACGGATAAGTTAATTACAGTACTGACACAACGACCTGTTGGGAAGAGGGTCTAGGGCCGATAACAATGTCCTGCCCGACGAGCAAGTCAGCTAAGCAGATATGGCTTATTCAATTTTAGTTTACAAGACTAACGCTATACTATGTAAGACTCTCCCAATATACTGTTGATGTACATATGACCAAACCAATTATCAATTTCCACCAAGGTTATGTCATATCCTGGATCACTTCGGGGTTTCACCCGCGCAGTGGAGGTCTTTACAAGTAGGTCATGACTTTGATCTTCGGCACAAGTATTCGCAGAAATCCATCTATGAACTCCGCAGTGATGCCATTGATATCGCCATTCTTCGGAAGACGCCAAACCGTTCTGTACGGCCCCTGCGCCAACTCGCGACGATGGTAGACTGTCCCTCCACCATTGACACCATTGCCATTGGACTTCCACCAATCTGTCACTCGACTTCCGGTAACAACCAAACTGCCCCGTACAACTTCGATTTGAATACCATCCGCGCTGACCCCCGGCAATTCTACCGTAATCACATACGCAGTGCCTGACTCCACTACATCCATTCGGGGAAACCACTCAAACCCTAGTCGTCCGGGATTTGGATGTTCGGAATTCGCTGGTGGGGATGGAGACTTCCTTGTGCCCTCAACACCGCTTCCCGATTTGCTCGGAGAGGCATGTCCTCGAGTCGTGGTATTATCCAGGTTTGAAGGGAGTTCCTTCAGTGATCCCGTCGAAAGAGGTTTCCTTCCCAAGCCTTCAAAGGCAGTCAACTGGCTGTTAACTGGCTCAATTTTCGCAGTTGCGGTTTCAGAAACAGGGGCGACCTTCGCGAAGCTTGGTGCCGAGGCACTGTCTGCACTGACCTTGTCATCTCTCACACTCGACGAGCTCCACTTGTCGTCAATTGTGCCAGAACCCAGAGCTGGCAGTTGAATCGGACCACCCACTTCGTTTGTTTCACCATTTGATTCCTTCTTCGTCTGAAATGGTCGCATGAATTGGCCATGGCTCTCAGATGCTTGCCGTGCGAAGAACACTCGACCATCCTTTCGGGCACCACTGCATGTTTGGTTCAAGATCCCGAAAGTTCCTCTCAGATGACGAGCAATTTGGCCAATCCGCCTCCCATAGCTTTCACTTGCTTCCATTTCCGCCACGATAAACCACAATCACAGACTTTCACGAGCACATCACTTCCTCCGACGTCAAGAAACTGCAGCCCCTCCGCATAGAGATGTAGAGCGCTACGGCAGGGCTTCTCTCCGACTTTCCGGATGAAATCGTCTCCGCCTCTGAAGCTCCACTAACGCTCCCTCATCTGCCGCGAGTCATGTTAAAGTTCTGTAAGATGAGGTGCCAAGTGATATAGCAATGCATCTCGTCAAAGTTCAGTGAGATCAGTTTAGGATTGACATAAAAGCGTGTTCTACCTTATTTTAGTCTAATACTGAAATTCCTTTATCTCGCGATCATCGAGTGCTTGACAACCGCCACCATTCCTCGGATCGTAGATTGTTTTATTCACAGAATATTCCTTGCGCAGCATGCCTCATACTCGGAGTAGATAACTTTCAGTGAAGCTACGGTTATCATAGCCAGGTCAGTTTGAGCAGATTGCACTTTTTCTAATGCGCTTTCAGAAAGCTCGTTGTGTTCTCATAGTCTGTTTCTCACGGTATTTTCTGTTTATCCCCAGCGGACCCTCTAACTCAGGTATAGTTAAATGGTAAATGAAAATCGGTCCTGTCCTTAAGGTGAGCAGTCGGCAGAATAGACGGAAGCATTAGTGGTGGTCCCCATGGGTGGTCAAAGTGGTCAACGAAAACCGAAATGCAAATGTGACCATATGAGCTGCATATTACATGTGGACAGTGCGTGTACTGACGGAGGGACATTTACACTCAGATTTGAGACTTTGATACCTGCATTTGACGCTTTGGTTGTAGATGTTGGAAGCAAAACTAGGAGCGGAAGATGCATACCGTCAAAGTTAGATGACTTGGTCGGAAGAAAGTTCACTTCTCCTCTCCATGGTATCTTCCAATCTGATCAAATAATCATTCGGGTTGCTTGTTGTTCCCACCGTTTCATCTGTTTGCAATTTCACACTTCTTACATTCAGAGAAAGACATCAAAGGTTTTGAAGCTGGAAGAGTTTCCATGACCTAGTTGTCTTAGAAATCAGTATCGAAATCAGTGGACGATCCGACGAATCAGCAAAAGACACAAATACAGTATTGCTTTACGGCACTGCACTTGACTCTTTACTCTCAACTTGAGCCAAACCTTCACGTGAAGTCACGATTAAGGAGAAAGATATCTTCATAGTCAGATAGCAATGTTTAATGCTTGATATAGAGAAGGCTAAATGGACGGAAATACCCTTGATGGAACTGCAAGTGACACCTTTTAGACCCTAGAAAAACCAATTTGAGTGACAATCGCTTGGTTGCTGAAGGGGCGACATTCCCGGTATATACCCTCACTTGTTTATCTTTCTTATTCTGCAGGCAGACGTTTTCTTTGGGCTTCAAATACATCAAGATTCGGATTGGCATACGTACCCTGGCTGAACTCGTCACTCCTGGCTTGCAAGTTCTTGGTTGGCAAATCACAAGACTCATCGCTAGAGGCTGGTACATTCCCGATGGATGAGATTTTCAATCGTGCCTGAAGTCTTTTTCGTAGCGGAGACAGATTCCAAACTTGTCCAGGAAAATTTCGATCAATGCTCTGCAGACTGTGCTTTATAGCTTGTGGACCCTGGCTCGGCAAATGAACGGTCCCGGTATCGTACACACATGCTTCATTCTTTACAAATGACAACTTTAGTTGTTCGCCAAGTCTTTCTTTGGGCTGAGATGGAATTTGAGCTTCTGCTTCAAAGAACTTTGGATTGCTGGTGTTCTCTTGGACACACGAGTACATCGCATGCAACTCCTCGCTTGGCCAATCAAATGAACCTCTTTGTACCGCAGAAGTTGTCGACTCTTTGTCAGAAGGAATCTTCAAACGTGGATCCTGCGTATTTCTGAGCAATTTTCGAGCCTCTTCATCAATAATTTGTGGGTCCAAGTAGTCGTCGAATGATCGTCTTAGATGAAGTTTTGGTTCCTCCGTATATTTTCCGCTGACATTAAAGAGCTTCCGCTTCGCATTTGACTTCCTCCAAGTCATCAAACTTGGCTTCAAATGCTTCTTCTTCCCAAGCGCATGTAGAGCTTTTGTCCCATTACTGTAACATGTTCAACAACGAAGAAGTCATGGGTTGATTACACACCATTGTTGAAAAGTGATCACAAACATCCAAGTCCATTCAGACATAAGTGTAGGAAAACCTTCCTATACAGGTGCCCTACATTCACTCCCAAACAGAAGATCAAACTAAACCTAAGATGAGTCTGCGTCAGAACTAGTTTGAAAGAATAAGCATAAGTGATAAATGGAAAAATATTATCCCACACCTAGAATCACTGTCGAAGAAGACAGGGAGCTGAGTAAGAGGGTCTGTAGGTCGCTGCAAACGCCTCTCAATATCAACCACGGTTGCTTTCGGTGTTGAAAACTGCAAACAGGAGAACTGCGAGAAGAGATTTCCTGTTGCCTGTGAAACTTCAGCAGCTGAGCTCTTCTGCTCTTGCGACTCTTTCTGGGTATCCGACATGTTTGTCTCCGGCGCACCAATCCACCCCACAGGTCAGATCGAGTCTATCGTATCCTTCAAATCGATCGATCTCAATGGATAACACCCACGAGAATCGGATCCTTCAAATCAATCGATTTCAATGGATGACACCCACGAGAATCTGTGACAAACGAAGAACTCACGAGCAACTATTTGACAAACACGGTCATTTTGCATCAACTTTGCATCCGGAGACATCCCCTAGATTTCTTACCTTGTTACTAATTGAGTTAACGTTATGACTCTTACGGTATTAGACTCGAGTAGCGTCTGCTTTCAAATTCGTTTTAATTCAAAAATTGAAAACATCTAAAGTTATCAATCCTGATACATGTAACAATAACGTTAACTCAAGTTCAAAAATTAAAAGCATCTAACGTTACCGATCCGGAATACATGTAGCGATAATGTTAACTCAAGTTCAAAAATTAAAAGCATCTAAAGTTACCAATCCGGAATACAGGTAGGGATAACGTTAACTCAAGTAGTAACATAAGAAGAACTATGGGCGATGTCTCCGAGCGCAAAGTTAAAACCAAATGACAGAATTTTGCCAGTATCCAAACCTTACTTGCTATATTAGATTCTGGAGAGTCGTGGTATGTTGCATACTCGCGTGTAATCCCAAGAATTGATATCGGTCGATGGGTTGCATGGTCCATGCAACCCATCGACATTCCTTCGGTTGTTTGACGGATCGAGTGTATCAAATCAGTCACTACTACGCATCACGTTGCCAGCAGCTGCTTTTAAAATTTAAGCACATCTGATTCCTCTACTCAACACTGCTCCATTCAGTTGAGATCTAGCCTCTAGCCCCCTCTTGGCCTGGTCCGGACACCTCCTTCCATGCTGCTATTATGAAGGTCATCAGGCTACAGTACTTGCAGCTCAATCACCTGCAAGACGGGTGCAAAGATTGCACCTATCTTTCAAGATCTTTTGTAAGATTTTTTAAATTTAAATTATAATAATGGTTCAATTTCTATTTTATAAAATAATTGTACTTTTATAAAAATTGCTATCAAATTTCATAATATCATTGGAAAGGACTTTACTATTTCCACGCGCGAGAGCAAAAGGGAAAAGAGGGGAGAAGTGCGAAGACCAAAGAGAGAAACTCGACCAAAGGAAAACCTAAACATTATTTTTTTTACTGGAGGCGCGGGATAGGGCCTTTTGTCCACGCCATTCCATCACAGGGTTCCTCGAATATAGTCAATGACTGCATAATATGGTTACTCGAGTACAGTAACCTGACGAAACCTAGTAGCGTGGAACTTTCCTGCAGTTTTTAGAGAGGTGGGGTATCATAGTGACTGAAGAATGAAAGTGCTTTGAAGCAGGCGTGATTCATTCAATGATAAACGCTAACAGAATGGTCTGAAATGCCGCAAGCAAAGATCATATAGCCTAACTGACTACAAGTTGAATAAGCTATAACACTTTTCTTTCATTATTATAGAAAAATGGTGTTGAGATTTACTAGTGTTTTTTGTTAGTGTTATAAAATCAATGAAATAGTTTTAGAAAATTTGAATATCAAATGAAAGTTTCAAAGTAAAATGATATGTTTTTCATATTTTATTAATCTATAGTAAAAAATGAGATATTTTTGACGAAACATCCCGATAATTTATTAGAGGTGTGTGCAATCACTATGATGAAGATATTATTCACCAGTACACTTATTAAATCTTATCATTAGCTTTAAAATTCTAACACATGTCAGGGTATTGCAATTTAGCTCGATGAAACCCATAATGGTGAAATAAAAATGATCGCGAAAAATCAAATCTTTAGTTTATGATTAGAAAGAAATAGAGTATTGTGATTTTCCACTCAACAGCAACATAGATAGTAAAATTGAACTCTTTTTTTTTCCAACTTAGATAAAATTTGAAAAGTAAAATATATGATAAAATAAATCATCACATTTAATCATGAGCGAAATTATAAAAATAAATATTCAAAAGTGTTGAATGTTATATAATTCAAATTTAAAACATTTTAATTTTTTATAATTTCAAAATATGTAGATCATGTACACCATAGAGATCAAATTCGCTTGATATATATATATATATATATATATTTATTTATTTATTATATGTTCTTTCACAAACGGACACGGATACGCCAACATATAAAAGGCAACACAATCATACACAAAAGTATGAATACAGAAGTACTAGGACGTGGTCAGTCTCTTCCGGCTACATTCACGGAAACTCAAAAAGGATTAACTGGTGAAAATCTAAAATGTGGTTGTCAAGGACTTGTGCTAACTGTCTTTTATATTCACAGCATATTTTTATCTCTAAGTAGAATTGACTAAGTTAAAACATAACTGAGTAAACTATTAACAATATATTTATATATCAGACACTGAGTTTATTGAATTAATACATAAATATCTATCAAACTTATACTTTCATAAATAGTATATATGAAATGGAATTAAAAATCATTACATGCACAAATCGAATTAAATCCAAAAACTAAATGTGCTTATAAGAAATCAGTTTATATGACTAAAAGGAAATCATATACTTCGAAACAATATCTTCGATATGAAGTGAAACTAAAGGCATGTGGGCATGCACATTCTCATTAAGATCTCGTTGGACAGGGTGAACTCGTGCGCAAAATACACATGTTTAAACGTCGCACAAAAAGTGTACCGTGCAGCGATGGCGACTAAAAACTCACACTGGAAGGGTCCAAAATTGTTCTTTTGAAAGCGTTTATAAACATGTCAAAAAAGATATCGTGGTTGTTTAATTAGGAGCCCTTATAAGGGAAATTCTGGTCAGTGATCCATGTGTTCGAAATCATGGTCACCACAGTAGTACGGGAATACAACAGCCCTTAATTTCGGCAACTTCGACCACGAAGTCGTAAAGCGGCCGTGAGCCTCCGAAGAGAAGATGTGGCGTCGCATGCAGCCGTGTCTTCAGATTGAAGCTAGCTCGCTACGACGTCATAAAGACGTCAGGGCACAGGAAGAGAGAATGAAGAGGAAAGGTCGAGGATTTGAAATTGGAGGCGACTGTCGACCTTCGTCCGCTCCTTCTGCCTCGCTGTGGCAGCCGCTCTCGCCACTTTCCGAGCTCCCTCCTCAATTCTCCCTGTCCTCGGTCGTTCTATGTACACCATCGAGGCTTCGCAAGCAAGCCCGCGTGGTGGCGGTGCATCTGGATCTCCCACCTCTGAAGTAATGCCCTGGCTTTGGTCTCTCGTAGATTGTGTGCCACTTTTCTTCTTTCCTTGCACCCTCGTCTGGTAGATGTGTCGCAGGCGCTCAAATGTTCGCCTGTATTTTGTCACCAGCTCGCGTATGATTGTTGGGGCGGAATGAGTCGGTGAATTTGGTGCCAGAGCTGGTGCTGGATGGCCTGAAGGCGAGAATTTGGAACGAGATTAGCACGAATTGGGCTGCGAACGGAGGGCTTCGATTGATTCTGTGGCAGGAATTTGTTTCCGTTGTTGGAAGGTCTGCGACGACGTTTTTTGAGGGTGAACCGGGGTACGACATTTTCTGTGATTATAGCCATGCCGCTCGCCTCGATCGAAGGCGGTTATTTGTGCAAGGTTTGGGAGATAAAGACTTTAGGTTTGGTCAAAGATGCAGAGGCACGGAAGCTGCTCGAGGATGTTGCGAAGCAGGTTGAACCCATCATGCGCAAGCGGAAGTGGAAAGTACCTCTTTTGTCTGAATTTTGTCCACGCGACAGTTCGTTGTTGGGACTAAACATAGACGCTGGGCGGGAAATCCGAATTCGTCTCAGAAAGCATAGGAGCGATCCGCGACTTTTTGGGTACGAAGAAACACTAGGAACCATGCTTCACGAATTGACTCACATTCAGTGCGGTCCTCACAACGCTGCATTCTACAAGCTCCTGGACGTTCTAACCAAGGAGTGCGAGGAGCTTATGATTGAGGGGATTACGGGAACTGGGCAAGGATTCGACGCGCGAGGTCAAAGACTAGGAGGGGTAGCTCACAACCCTGCTCCCAGTAATCTTCGTCAAGTGGCTCTTGCTGCTGCACAGAAACGAGCACAGAGTAATTCAATAATGCCCGTAGGACCTAGACGCCTCGGCGGAGACAGTGCCATCATGAAAGCATTAAGTCCTCTTCAAGCTGCTGCTATGGCTGCTGAAAGGCGATTGAAAGACGATTTCTGGTGCGCAGCACCCTTCACTGCTGGAGATGATGGTATGCTTAAGGCTAGACAGAGGGAGGACTCTGCTGCTACCAAACCTGCAGGTTTGAATGAGAATTCGGAGAACGCAGGTGCAAAGGTCGGGACGAGAGACAATGCCGGCGGTTCTGCTGTTCCAGTGAGCAATGTCAGTAGGAATAGAGCAGGAGTAGGTTCACTTGGTGTTAGGCCAAGTACTTCACGTGTGAACCCCACAAAGGAGTCGTACGATGCAGCTGCCAGTAAAGAAAACCGTGGATTGAGAGAAAATGCTCAAAATTCCGAAGTTCCTATCAACATCTCCGTGAAGAAGAATGCTCGAGATGCTGGACTTAGTGATGCTACTGCAGCAGTGAAGAGACGAACCGAGGTTTCAGAACGAGATCAAATTACAGCTAAAGAGGGACGCGTGCCTGATTTCGGAGGTGAAGGTAGCCAAAGGAGCCCCATCCTGTTGGATGATCCAATTGTCAGAAGCAACGAAGCCGAGAAGAGTTGTTCCTGGCAATGTCATGTGTGCACTCTGCTTAACCCAACCCTTGCCCTGTCATGTGGAGTCTGTGGCGCACTTAGGAGACAGGTCTTAAATAACAGCTTGAAAACTTGGACCTGTAAATTTTGCACTCTTCAAAATGAAGAGATTTTGAAAAACTGTGCTGCCTGTGATCAGTGGAGATACTCGTATGGTGCCCCTTCCGCTATTCGAGCTCCAAACGTTGGAAATTGATTCAAGCATCGGTGCTCGGTCGTCACGTATATAAGAAGGTCGCTGGGGTTCATTGCTTTGAACCCATGCTTGAAAACAATTCGATCTTTATAGCCACATGATGGTGAGTGACCGAGGTCATTCACCTAGTCGCACAAGTTCAACTTGTATTTTAGATTTCAGAATCTTGCCCCTTCAGTATCGAAGGTCCGTGGCGTCAAATTTTCTGACTGAGGATCAATCGAATGCTAACGATAATTCCCAATCTCAGTCTTGGCACACGGTTGATAAATTTTTTATTCCAGGTACATATGGTTTTAGAGGGACCTGAACTAGCTACTGGAACTAAGTGTTGAGATTATACAGGCAATTGGACAACTCGTCCTTTGTCCCGCCCACATATCAGTTCATCAACCTCTCCTCTGAGAACGTCTAAACTTCCGGACTTTCGAATAAAGTTGGCCTTGAAACTTTTGATCCCTATCTGGCATTGTCGTCCATTGTAATTTGATTTCTGATTGATAACATGGGAACGGTTGAAGGAAGGGATGTGGTTTCCAACGTGACAATCCAACACGTAATACGACATGGAGGAGATTGATCCCCGAGAAGTTCGCCGCATCCTTGAATCATACATATGATGCCATGCACAGTACTGCATATTCCGAACCTGATACCGTACTTGTCTCATTGACGGGCCGAACAGAAGCAAGCGGATATTACCTCTCCTGTTTTTGCCGTGAAAATCATGATGTGGATGGAGCACGAGAAGCTTACACCCCCTGTGTATGGTCGTCCTGTCTACTCACCGAACCTCCCACTTTACGACAAAGGCAAATGTGCACAATAGTGCACAACAAACAACAAGTTACAGTCTGATGTACTGGTGGCGGTGATTCGGAGAGCCGTACTGTTCCACCGTAGGTTCGACAAGGAGTTATGGGAGTGACTGGCAGAGTTGGAATTAGTTTTTTGATACAACTGGGGTATTTTCTTGCCCAAAATAAGTATAAGTAAAAATTTCCAATTGGTACTCATCGTAAGGTTACCTTGTCAACCACCTTAAAGCAGTGATTTGTGTTTTAAATCGTGGATGTGCTATTTGAAAATTTATACATCGTTTCAGTAGATCTTGTTTTAAAATTTTTAATTCAGAGCATTATTTTATCATAACAGAGTTGAAAAGTTATGGTGTCTTAATTGGTAGTTAAGAGCGTTTCAGATACAAATATAATGATAATTAGTATTCATTCATGTAAGGTGGGTTGTGAGAGGGATATCGTTGGGCATTTAAGAGTAGAATTATGCTGGTGTTTTCTTTATCTTTCGCCCACGATCAAACACCACGCCCAAGTTTATTTTACACGCTACTTTGTACATTCCATGGATTCTGTTTATCGATCGTTTGCACTTGACGCACGGATGAATATACATGTTTTTGGCTTTAGTTAGAGATTCAGAGCGAGAGATTGAGGTGCATTGAAGGAGTTAATACTGGCCACACTTTTACAGATCATATTTAATCACAAGATATTTTTGGTTCTTTGTCTAGAAACTCGGAGTATACTTGAGATTTTAGTATAGAGCCATGACACATTACTTGTTGGGAGGAGTCTCATCCCTGGAGAGAAGGTATGGGAAAATACTGATACCGATAGCTCTCCACTTGTTGACAGTCAAATCCATGTCCACTTTTTAAAAAGTGGACATGGATTGTAAGCAAAGAAATAAAATTTTGAGAGTGTACCATGACATCGAACAACACGGGAACATTCGGTTTCACTCAATCGACTTAGAAGTTTGCTTCATCTTGCTTTCAGGATAGACGATCTACTTGACTACCACTTTTATTTTCTTGCAGAAAATAAAAACAGGAAAGAATTGCTGGGCTAATTGATTTGCCAATTTCTTCGCCATTCCGATATTACTTTCCTTAACCATCGACTACCAGCCCCATGTCCATTCACTCTGATCTGAGGTATCTATTACAACCGAATGATACCAAGGAGGGGGCTCACATAGAATACACATCTAAAAGAGACGATGAGGGAATTTACCTGAATCAGAAAATCAAAAGTGTCTTCCCTTATACATGTATATAGATCGTAGTTCTGTGATAAATACCAATCTTTCTTGATCTTATCATGTTTGGTTAGGGTTGGCTTTATAGGTGCTATATAAGGCTATACGTTACAGTCTAAAGGTACATACAGACGAAGATATATCTCGCTCTCGTAAATGTTGTCACTTGTAAACCAGAAGTAACCATGTGTCTATTTGATACCAGGGATGTTTAGCTGATTTAGAATTACGTACAGGGAGAAATGTGACTAAGTTAGGTTCAAGATTGCTCCAATTATATTCACAATAGGAAGATTGTTGTAAGTCTGTCGGTGTGTGTATATATATTTATATGTATACATGCATATTTGTGAAGTCTCGTGTTGCGAGTTCTGACTGTATGCTCTCGGTTCTGCCCACGGTGATTCAGAATTCATCCAGTATCCAACCACGTGCTTAAAGTGGGTATTATTTGACTTTGTCAGTCTTATGCCGATGCCTTGTCTGGAAGTGAGAACACCCGTTATATTGATAACGGGTGTTCGCTAAAACATATTCATCCGCGTGTTGGTGGTTGGGATGTAACAGTAAAACACCTCTCAAATAGTCCACAATCGAAGCGAGATATCTCATTGCGAATAAAGAAAAATAGAAAGGTATCTGGCTTTAATAGTGACAAATGATGCTGTCTAGAGGAGTAAATAAATCATTCTCCAATGGATTCAGTATTGAACTGCATGGGCACCTCAGGTCTGTTACGGAAACTGACGGTTAAAAAAGCGAAGCTAGAATCTCAACGAGCTAGAATCCCAGGAAATGGATGGCGAGTGGCCGATGACCCCCCGAGATGATGAGTGGCATTGACCGGCAGGCCAGGTCAGCATCGGACCGAGGCTCGCAAACCACGGGTCACTGTGCCTCGGACTACGGTCCGCCAGCCTCAGAACGACCGCCAATCGAGCCGTGACTCCGAGTCTCCGTCAGGCCCACTCGGCGTGACCCAGATCTGGCGAGGGGACCAGTCCTGCCTCGGGCAGAGTACAAGATGTCCCATGGACTCTGCTCGAGTCAGCTGAAGCAGTTGCGCACTCGACGAGAACTCCATCTGGTCCAAGATCTGTGTCTGAATGTGAGGTCCTGTCGCGCCAAAGGCCATATCTGTTCGAGGGAAACAAAGGTCAGCACTCTGAACTGTTTGGTCCTAGTGGATGGTGCGCAGTCACACCTGAGCTTCGTTGAGCATTGCAGTGGATTCTCAGCTCTGTTCTACAAATTGCCTTTTCCTTTTTCCTTTTTCCGCCGCAGGCTCTCGTGATCGATCGAATGTCTTGAATGAGTACATGTTTCGGTTCCGGCTCTCAACCGAAGTGCCCTCAAGGTTTGCGATCTGAGATCGGAGAAATATCTCAATGTTTCATATGTAGATATTTTCCAGTAGACTTTGAACAAGTTTATGACACGTACTACCCGACCCACCAATTTCGTTGCCTGCTTTTGGGTAATGTACCAGGTTTGTTCTCGCTTTTGAGAAGAATCCAATAATCGATACTTACCTGTTAAGCTGAACGGGTCGATTTGGACGCTGCGCAGGTATGCAAGCAAACATGATGTCGTCTCACAGATTCTCAGCCATCTTGTGGCTCAGCTTGGTGGCCATCAGCAGTACTGCTGTTGCTCATGTAAGTGTTTCCGAAACCTGATGTAAGTTGCTCGTGATTGGACCCTTTGCTCAGGGATTCTATTTGGCCGTATTTGATAAATACCGCAGTCCCTGACATTTCCAGTAACTATTTATCAGGCAAACATGACGAGAAAGTACACAGCTGGGGGTAGCAAGTTCATGTTTGTGATTTCGCGGTTCTCCGGATTGCCAATGCTTTTATTACTCTAGAAGAATCTACAGCTTGAAGCTTGAAAGTATGCAGAAAATAGAGTGCTTGAACTATTAAATGAAGGATATTTCTTCATCTTGCACAGCGTCCGGGTGTAGTCCCTGACCACATGAACGTCGAGAACCATTCATACTTGTCAGCCGAAGGGAACGAAATAAAAGGAAGGAACGATCAGAGAAGTCTGTACAATCGTGTCCTCATGGATTGATTGAGTGTGAAATCTTTTGCAGGAAAACATTCTAAAAACGACAGTTGACCCTTCTAATGGTCAGTTATCTCGAAATTTCTTCCTTAGAATTCATCTTGTCTACTTTTTTCCTTAAAATCTGAAGTGTTCAGCACGTCTCCATGCGATTAGTTGCTCTTGGATTTTGTCTTTCCACTTACCGACATTTCAGAGTATCCTAATTGCAATTAGAAGCCAGCAAATGGAGTCATGTGTGAGGTTTGCAGATTCATGTGTTGTTCTTTCCTTCACTGCAGACGCTTGGGACTACAGTGACGGGCCGAACGGGCCTGCTCATTGGGGAGACTTGAACCCCAGCTGGAGAACTTGCAATGAGGGCCAGAATCAGTCTCCGATTAACATCGATACTAGCAATCTTGTGTACGATGAGAAGCTGGATGCACCAGCCACACACGAGTATGTTGAGACGCCTGCTTACGTTTTAAACAACGGACACACTGCTCAGGTTCATACGCTTAACGACAGTCATTTCTGAGTTCCCTCGATCAGCTCGAGTTTGATGACCACTTCATTGTGACAACACGGCGTTCTTTATCAGGCTCCCAAGGTGCCGGATTTCTTAGTGGCATTCCCCCCGCAGGCTGAAAAGATGTAAATCAGTCTGGAAGTTTTTTAGGAACCTGTCGCCTGGAGCCTCCCAACCTCATTCTTGTTACCATGTGCGACTTGGCAGGTTATATGGCCCGCAGGATGGATTTATATCGATGGGAAGAACTACAGCATGACTGGTTTCCAATTTCACAGCCCTAGTGAGCATACCATCGATGGAACAAGGTTAGTGTCCTGTATTTCTCAGCTTCTGTTCTTCTGATCATAGTAGTTTCTTTCTCTTGCCTAGGATCAAAGATTTTTTGGTATAAGATTGTGCTAATGAGTTTTTTCTTAAGTTTTCCTACTCTAGACGGCATGACTGGATAACACTTACGTGGGTGTGGTGAGTATACCTTGTTCTGCACTTTTATTGAGGTCGCCCAACTCTCCTTGCAGCTCATGTTTTATGACGTTGTCCTTTCAGCTACCCTCTGGAAATGCAGATCGTGCACATGACTGACGAGGGAGATTATGCCGTTGTCGTCATTTTATCAAGCATCCAGGAGATGGTCAACGGATGGGTTGCACAGGTTATTATATTGTGATTGCATGAAATTGTGCTCAGTTGAACATGATGTTGTTTTGCTTTATAAGCATCTTCCAGCGGCTATCAGCAAAAGCTTCGAGTCAACCGTGTCTGTCTGATATCGGATTTCCCCTTCTAGCTCCATCATACATATTTGTATCACTGCACGGCTTTTTGGCCGGCCTAGAATTTTCTTCCGTAACAGACCAGCTTATCCTCATGGAGCCTACGCCCATGCCCCACTCAAGAAACTTAGAGATAGATCGATTGATTGATGGTCTGATAGCTCTGTGTTAGATATACTATGTGTCCACATTACAGTTAAATTGCAGTTACATCTTGAGATTTTCTACCTAGTTCTCTTTAGATTTACTCAAGTTTTCGCGTTCTCAGCCACAGCCCAGCCAGCGCGCGGGGTCTTCGGTCTTTTATGCTATGACAGGCTGACGCTCATGAGTACATTTGTGACTTTCTCACTCGTAAATGATTGGTGCCGCTTTTGCAGTTTTGGGATCAAATTCCTTCCCTCAGCAGTATTTGGCAACCTGTCCCAGTGGGGAACCTGAGCCCCGACGGCTTTAGAGTCAACTTTTCCAAGTACTACCGATACTCTGGATCTCTTACTTCTCCAGACTGTCAAGAGAATGTTATCTGGACGGTTTTGAGCACGGTATGAATATTCCAATCATGACTTCATCCTTGCTTGTAGGTGAAAGCCTTTCTTCATTGTTGCGCGTAATTTTCAACATTATAATTAAGTGGTTATGTCGCTTTGGGGTGGTACAGGTTTATGAAATTTCTCCTGGACAGATCGAGCATTTGCGAAGTGTCTTTCCGGTATGTTTCATTTGCTTAACTTAAGCCTTTATGTTGAGTTAGCGCAAAATGGGATCCTAGCAGAGATTTATCCAGATTGTAGTGCCTTAATTACTTGATGAGTCAGAAGTTATAGACACACTAACTAAAGGATGAAAAATTTACTGACCCATTGAGGAGATAGAGATGCGTTGGTGCTATAGCTGGATCTGAGTTTCGTCCATCTACATTGATGAGTTGCAGTGCAATTTCAACTTTGTGATCCCGGTAATGACTAACTCAGGTGTCCTCGTCTGTTCTACAGGATGCAAACAATAGACCAATCCAGCCTCTTGGCGATCGCAAAGTGTCATATCCCAAGGCATCCGCCTAGAGGAAAGGCATATTTGCAGCTCCATCGATTTATACATATAGCTGATACGTATTTTGTAATTCATACGGCTGACATACTTAGGGCTCACTGGCGCTACAGAAGCAGCAAGAGAAATTTAGATTTATGTGTGTAAATTAAGAATTGGTGCTCTGGATGTCCTATACATAATTTTGATGTTATGTATGTCCTATAGTCGACCAAAATAAAACTTGTGTGTATAGCTTTACAGACAAGTCGCAGCGCATACACTAATCATCATTGTCACAAACCTAAAAAGGCTCATGCACTCATCAGTCTTTCTTTGGTCGTCTTGAATGTGTTGTTCAATAAGTTGCAGTTACGTACGACGTCGCACGAAAAAAACTGTCAGCCAGCACGCTTACGTTGTGGCCAAATCATATGTGTAACACGAGGACTCTATCTTATCAAACTTTTTAACAAGACTGTGACCCCACAAAAGACCTGCAATCCTCATTCTAAAACATTGTGATCCATCCACGAGATAAAACTATCTCGAGATTCATCTCAAGGCCTTCATCTATCACCTGTGGTGTGCTGCGTTTGTCCGAGGTAGTCTTTTCGTGTTGATTTTTGATATCTATAAGCAACGTGATAAGAGAAATGCCCTCTTCAAGGAAGAACTCTTCCACGGTGATGCAAGCTTTTCAATCTTCATCTTTCGGAGTCAGACAATGGTCAGAATAGACTCAGGCACGTTTGATCTGCACACGTTGAGTCTCTTGAAGCCTACTACTGAAACTTTTTAGCCATGAGAGTCGCACTCCAACGCCCTTGCCCAACATTCTAAACTTCTACGCACCTAAAATGTCTGGACGATTCCGCACGAGCTCGCCTACGGGAGATGCTCATACTGTAGTGCCAAAACCCTTCTTTCTCATCCATTTCGGCAAGGAGGAGTGCCCTTTAAACTCTCGCCCAGAGATAGAGGACATTGATAGAGGACTTTGAGTCACGGCTAGAAGCCCCCTACTTCCATGTAAAGCAGATACACACATTCCCAGTATCATCCCCCCAAACATTCCCAGTGTCATCCCCCCAAACTTTTGGTGGACGACACTGACACACTGACAACTGACGACACTTTGGGGGGTGACACGTTTCTTGTCTTTGGCGCCCAAAGACAAGAAATGCTCATTCTCATCCGGATGAGAAGCGCCGCTCAATACAAAATATGAGATGCCCGGAATCTTGATTCACTGGCTTCTTTGCTGTCTCACCATCGACACCCAGGCCCGAAGTGTTTGGGCCTACTTTGAGTCTCCGACCTCGTCTACTCTGGATCCTATCGTGTAAACACATGTTACGGCGTATTTGGGTGGAGAAGGGAAGTGGGGCCAAGTGGATAGCAAAGACGATGAGAGATGGATGCATTATTGGACATGTCTTATTATAGAACGACGATGGGGAAGACGCCAAATTTTTGATTTTTGAAGAGGTTATTGACAAGGGGCAGACGTCCAACGAGACTGACTTGTCTTTAGAGCTTCAGGTGATCGGTCCGAGTTGTGGAAATATGGCACGGCGTTACTCTGCTACTCTCTTAGGAGCTGTCAGAAACTGTGGCGAATCTCAAATTGGAAGGTGCTGCGCAGCCCAGAATGGTGGAGTTTTGCAAAATCGGGGGGACCTTCAGGGTCATCCCAAACTTATCGACCAAGCGGTGGCGGCGTTCAGGCGGTGAGTGAATGAGTTCTGGGATTGTGTTCATCTTTCGTGACCTGCTTAGTCCTCTACGTCTGCTGTATGGTCCAAGGTTTAAGGGTTTTTCAAGGGTTGAAGGTTTTGCCGAAACGTCCACCGTTCGTCGCTAAGCCTTGAATCTTGAATATGTGACTTTCAGGTCGGTAAGCTCGTACGAAGGGAATGGTGGTTCGAAGATTCCGTAAGTGGTTATAGTTCATCTCATTTCTGGACATGATTGTGAAGTCTTTGGGCGAGACTACCAAGTGGTTCAATCCTGCGCTGATTAGACGAAAGCATACACGAAAACGAACTCGCATTGCTCGAACAATCTCTCCTCTTCTTCTTCTTTCTGCGGAGTCGTCCATGACGGACACATGGCCTCAAGTCTTGTGGAGATGTTTCCTGTTCGTTGCAGAGAGCGTGTCGGAGGAAAGGACAGATTGATACTTCGCGGGGGGAAGTTTCATGGTTATCACGGTGTCCTCGAGGAGGAGAAGAGACTGGGACAGAAATTTCTGGTGGACGTGGATGCATGGTTAGAGCTTCGAAAGAGCGGCAGCTCCGACGATCTGAACGACTCTGTCAGCTACGCGGACCTTTTCAGGTGCGCGCCAACCGTGAGCTTTGTGAATTCCGCTGAGCCGAGAATTGGACTTGAATTGGTTAATCAGGCAAAATTGTGAAGCTTTCTGCGGATTTGCTCACCTGTTCTTTTGAACTGCTCGGATGGATGTGTGCAGTATCGTGCAGAAGATCTTGGAAGGTCCGAGTTTTGATCTGGTAGAAAAAGTTGCTACTGAGATAGCTCGCGAGGTGTTAGTGGCACATCCGCTCGTCACGGACGTGCGTGTCAGGGTTTTAAAATGTGCCCCACCGGTTTCAGGCTTTGTGGATAGATTGGGCGTCGAAATCTTTCGAACCTCTTCGGATTTCGTCAGCAGAAGTTAGTCGAATTCACAGTGATGTCCTCTGCTATCAACAGTGGAGCGATTATAAATCCAGGAACCCACAAAGATAAGCTCGAAGAAGACAAACCCGGGATGCCTTACTCTGGATTCGAACTTCCTCGATAAGGAGCCCTCAGCATGTGGGGATCGATCGATCATTTCAGCGTCCAGCAAATGACCTATAGTGCGGTTTGAGTGGCTGGCCACGCCCAATACTTGACAAAATATCAGGCGGTATCAACCTTCACACTTGTTCACGGTATATTCTTTTTGATTATAAAATGAGGAGAGAACTGGACTTGACCTTTGTCGGCGAATTGCAAATTTTTTATGAAAGCATGAAATGATGTTTGTACAGTCTCCCTCTCTATCACAAGCAGCTCAGTCCTCTGCCTTCGATTCCCTCCGGGGCAATGCTACTGGCAGAACCCTGTAACTTCCTGGAAATCTCCCTGGAATCGTTCTACTCTGTTGACTTCCCCTCGTGCAAACAAGAACATCCGAAGCTATGTCGTGATTCGAGATCATAAGCATCATAACACCGTCCCAAAATCAGAACTCTGCTTTCTCTAGTAGCTTCGTGTATCGAACGATCGACATTAAATAAAGTGCGGTCAATTCGAGCTCTCGAATAATTTTCTCCTTGAAAATGAAAGAAGGTCCATTGATTCTCTTCAACTTAACGAGCCCACGATGACATGAGCAAGTATGATTTCTTTCTGATTATTTGAAAAATGTCAAGCAATTTGGATTACAGGACAACTCAAATGAGGTAAACTGCAAGCTCAAAAAACTTTCGGAAAAACCAGTTGTTAACTATTTATTCTTTCAGGAGGATGAAGTGTAAAATAAAAGTTATAACCTGTGCTCCATTGGCACTGCAGGATATGACTCGTAAGAGATTCAAACGTAGGTAGGCAGTGACATCATCAATTTGCTCATATATGTGAAAATGTAAACGTGCCGCTAGCCCAGAGCAATGTTCTAGCATGCCCCAACATCTTGTGACGGCTTGAAAGTAGCAAATCTCGGCGTGCCACGATAGACAACGATTCATTCAACAACGCGTCGATTGTAGATCTTCAGATGTTGTCGCAAACGGCCCTTCTTGCGTGGGCCGAAACTCAGTCCGACCTTGCGAAAGTATCATCAGAAGTCAACGTTTTTCAAATCTGGAACAACCTTTGCAAGGTCAAATAGCTAAATGTAGAAGAGCATTGGTGCCTTGTAGCTTGGGGAGAACGATATCCAACAACGATAGAGAACTGCTTCGGACAAAATGTTCGCAGAAATCGAAGTTAATCAAGAAACAGTCAAATCGACTCTACTCAATTCCCAGTCGATGAGAATTGTGTGCATAACAAGCCTTGCGATCTCACGACCATTGAGATTGTTGGTTATTAGGTGTTGTAGGTTGTACTGTCGAGCTAGCTTTTAGAGTCATTTCGTTTTCCTCCATGTGGCTTGATTGATAGGGAGTCACATTGTTTTCTATCCACTATGCCAGTTTCTCCAAGCATAGGAAGGCGACGATGACGTCAACAACCTCGAGGAAAACTTAGTAGCTATGTCGTTCAGGTGCCGACCAGTAAAAACATGTATGCGACAGACCAGTCTAGACTCCTACTACAAGAGTTGTTCAAAGACGAATTGTAAGAGATGTAGAATCATCGTTGGACGGCTTTGCAGAACTTCGGTTTGCTACAGAATATACAACCATAAAGCTCATCCCGTCTATGGAGGCGGAGATAGTAAACGATGAGGCGTTCAATGATTTTCCAAAGAACATCGGGAAAGTGACTATACTCATTAGAAGTATGAGCCTTACACTTCAAGTGACCATACTCTATAAAAGGTTGTATGTCTCTGCCATGAAAATCTACCAGCCTATACTGAAACACCCTATTCATTGAAACATTTGGGTTCGTAAACCAATCGATGAGGCTTCATGGAAAGACCCTGATGACTGATAGCTATGGCACAGCTGTCTGTCAATCTCTCGGGGTTTAGCAAGGGCACGTGAAGAAAATATACAGTAGTCTGGCTCTAAGTAGAGTGCTCTGGTGAAAGTTTCATGCCGGTACACAATGACGACAATCACTGTGAGATCCTTCAAGCAGTCCAGTCCCCACTTGTTTCTTTCCGGGGATTTACTAGGTTCACGAATTTGACTGCACAGGGGACGAATCTGAGTCTCGTAGCCACAGCACTCGCTCGAAGATGAGAAACCTGGTGAAACGGTCTCGTCCATTTCCACGAATAATCTATTTCTTAAACAATGGACACGACGTGACATTTTGACATGTACATTTTGTATTCTCGCGCTAAGCCCGAATTTCACACGATTTACAGCCACGTGAAATATTGGCGTTCCGAATCCAGAAACAACAGCAGACGCAGTAATCATGGCAGAAGACATCTTTACAATATAGAAAGAGAAGCAGCGGGCCCGGCCACTTGGCACCCATCTGCTCCTGACTATATACTAATTTACAACGACGAGCGACGAGCTGCCCCACTCTACAGGACGATGCCCGCCTTGGCATAAACCTCGGAGGGCAGGCGGGGCGAGATCACGATCCGCAGAGGACTTGTGGTGGACAAGGTGACGCCAAATGTCTCGCCTACATCGATGTCCATGGGCTTCATGCCTTCGGGCACATCCAAATCGCAAGTGTGGAGGAGCTGCGCCAGAGTCCACTCCACCACGAGCATGGCGTAGTCCATCCCCGGGCACATTCGCCGGCCCGAGCCGAAGGGCAGAAACTTGAAGTCCTCGCCCTTCAGGCCCTGATGGCGATTCATAAACCTCTCGGGATTGAATTTCAGCGGATCTTCCCACACTTCCGGATCCCGGTGAATGGCGTACACATTCACGAGAAGCCTGGTGTTGGCGGGGATGTCGTAGCCCGAGATCTTCGTCGCCTGGGTGTTCTCGTGGGGAGCCAGGAAGGGGACGGCCGGGTGCAGGCGGAAGGACTCCTTCATCATGGCCCGGAAGTAGGGCAGGCGGACGATGTCCGCTTCCTCCACCATCCGGTCCTTTCCGATCACGGAGTCCAGTTCCTGCTGCACCTTATGGCGCACCTCAGGATGTCGCAGCAGCTCCACTAGCGTCCATTGCATCTGGGCTGCCGAGCTGTCGATTCCTCCCAAAGTCAAGTCCTGCAAGTTCACCGTCATAGCAGCACGTCAGAAATCACCACGACTGCACATGCTCTCCTTTCTTTCCGGTCTGCCATTCTTCCCAACCGCCACTGACATGCTGACGAGGTGTCCGGAGGTCGTGCTGCCACGGCCCCCATATCGTCGTCGGAATTGTCAGTAGCGCGAGATGACAATAGTTTCACGTCCATGAAATTTCATCTTCAGCATTGTGGCCTTCAAAGCTTGCATTTCACACCCAAACTGATGAAATGCGACGTGACTTAGAAGTTTACGAACGCAGCGAAATGAATCGAATCGATTTTTCGACGATCTCGAGAATAGAGAAGAGGTCGGTAATCCGAGGAGACAAACCTGAAGGAAAGCCTTGACTTGTGTTTCGGAGAGGGTGTTGCCGTCTTCGTCCGCGTGGAGTGATAGCAGCACGTCGACGAAGTCCTCCTTCCTAGAGCCTTTGCCGCCAGCAGCCGAATTTCGTTTGTGCTCTTCTATCACACCTGTCAGAAATTTGTTGAATTCTTCCCTCAGCCTGAGCAGGTGTGCCTCACAACCTCCGATGTCCAGCTTCCTGAGCCAGGGAAGGTAGTCTCCAACGATGACGGAGCCTGCGACACGGGCCCACTCGTCGGCAATCTCGTGAAACTCTCGCGCATGAATGGATCCGTCCGCATTTGTCGTCTTAAGCCCGTAATAGCTCTTGCCGTAGAGGATTTTGCTCACATTGTTGAAATTCATTTCAGTGATCTTATGATCCACTTGTACGGGCTGTCCACCCCGACCCTCTTGCAGTAGTTTGGTCAGGAAGGCCGTCAGCATTTCTTTTCGAACTCCCTGCAAATACAGACTTCTATGAGTGGCATTTTTTCGATCACACCAGCGATTGCGGATCAAATAACACAGCAAATTCAAAATTCATTGACAGGCGTAAGCTTCTTCTGCATGCCGTTTTAGATAATATTGTGTGATAAAAGGTTGACGAGAACTGCATGAGAAACCGGGGTGACATTCCACACATTCGTACAAGGTCACCGAGCAGCGGTGAACTTGTGTCGGATGATATGCAATCCGAAGTTCAAGCTCGAAAGAGCGGGGTCACTTTAAGCGATTCCTCCGAATCACACAGATCCCATAATATTTAAGCTATGAAAGCTATCTGCAGTTCATGTATTTCGCCGCCATGACTGTTCAGTCCACCCGAGTCCCCGAAGAACAATGGATGGGCGACAACTCTTACAAGTTGAGAAGACGTGGATCGTGGTTGAGATATGTTCAGAGGCAGAATGAACTCACAATATTACAAAACCGACCGAGATCGGATCGAGAGTTGGAAGTCTAGATCACAAACATTCGAAGATTGGGATATTCACCTGAAATTCCTGTACACGCAGCGGCGTGAAAAGTGAATTGACGCAAGTCTTTCGGAGTAATCTGAAGGTCGGACCCAGAGGCGCAAACAAGAGGTCTTGACGATTGTAGAAGAAGAGCTCGCCGGTGACAGTGTCAGGACGAGACGCGAAAATATGGTCTTGAGTTCTGAGAACCTCTTTCGCCATGTCCGGACCTTGGACAACGATGGTAGGAACGGAGCCCAGCTGCATAAACATGAGAGGGCCATATTTTTTTTTCAGACGGAGCAGCGACTGGTGAGGCAGCGGGCCCATCAGGGGGAGGTTCCCGATCAGAGGCCATGCGAGAGGCCCCGGGGGTAGCTTCGGTGCTCTGAACTTTCTTTGTATCAAAATCAGCACGACCAGCCCCAAGACCGCTGCAAGCACATAATAGAACGAGTCCGTTCCATAGAAGTCTGCAATGTTCGTCATTGGAGGCATCCTTACGTTGATTGATCTCCGGCCTTGCCTCTCGATGGAATCCTCGCGATCTACGTCCTAGTGCTGCATGTTCACATCGTCAGTGTCGACTCGATAGACATCACCGACCCTCGTCGGTCCAGACTACAGCTCCGTCTCTAATGATCGACGAACATGGCACTTTAGTTCACCATTTATTTCTCACCCTCCCGGGCTATGGAGTCTGAGAGTGAGACTGCAGGCCGACTCTGAGGCCGATGGGTAAATGCTCTTGAGATGGGATTCCGCAGGTTGGCTAGGCCTGCTGTTTGTCTCCACTGCTCGTTATACAGTGCTGTACATGGAGCGCGATTCCCTGATCCAGCTCGAGGCCTGGATCTCTGCACTTGATCACTGTGGAGTTCGGACCCACGAGCTAAGGAATGAATGATGTTTCATCATTGATCAGTGATGAATGACGTGCAGATCTCGGAGGTTGGCTGCAATTTATGGCTAACGCTGCAAGAGTTCATGAAGAGGCGGAGATCACTGGACGCAGCGACAGGAAGCTTGTACGAGCGCGCTGGACCATCTCGACGGAATCCGATCCACTTGCGATTCCCACTACACGACAAACCGAGAGTCACAGGTCTGGTGCTGCGAGCAAGGGGTCTCAGTCCATAGGTGTGTATGTATAATTTCGGTATTATACCACCGTATTCTACATTGCGCCATCCACTACACGACAAACCCAGAGTCACAGGTCTGGTGCTGGGAGCAAGAGTTCTCAGTCCATAGGTGTGTCTATATAATTGCGGTATTATACCACCGTATTTACATCACTCCAACCTAACCTTGTATAGTTAAAAGTCCTCAGTGGAGTCATTAGGAGTCCGCACAAGTCTAAGATTTCAGATTTTTATTATACTCTGCTCGAAGCCAAAAGATGCTATCTGGAGAAGTTCGAAACTGGATAGCGGATTTATCTGAATTTAGAAGATACCCGTACACAATTTGAAATTGAAGAATCCCCCGTCCACGATGCTAGTGGTGATAACAATGATGAATTTGATCACGTTGACATTTCCGAGGTATTTTTAGGCATAAGGAAGATATCTTGGAGGCCGAGCAGGTGATAACATAAGAGTTTAGAGTGTCATCTGAGGTGGACCTCTGAATGTATTTTACATTGGGAATTATACGGTATTATTACTACGCAGTCCACAAAGATTCCAATTATACAGTACCATATCTCAGTCTCGTCTCTGTACACACTCGCTCGAGGCTAATCAACCGGAAACCGGTTGCAGGCCATTATCAGTACGAAGTCGTTACAACCGTCCTTTGCAAGCAGCAGCGGTACAGCTAGTGTTGGAGGCACAACTCAAAAGGCATGCTTCATTCGCTTTTTCTATAAGGGGCTTGCCCGTATGTACGAACAAAGTCATACATATATTCCAGAGTTATAAACATTGTTATAAGTCAAGAAATAAATGATGAATTATGCTTGTTGTTGGGGCTGCATGATACTGAAACTGCTCTTGGAACTGAAGGATTTGACAAGTATGTGCAATGCTGTTTTTTTGTCAGTACGTGGGATGTAGACAGGTCCTCCGGCATTATTACCTTCAGCAAATGAACCGGATGTCTAGCATGAAGAACTTATTTCACTTAGGCTTGGACGATCTCCACTATACTGGATCTAGCTCTACCACATGGCACATGATTAGATGTGATGCCAGCAAATGTTGACAAAGGACGGATGAAGAACAAACATATGCTCTGTGCACGTTATTGTTTCCGGCCCAGAAATGCACTTCACAATTGTAATTTTTTTTCATTTGTTGCATATATTGTTTATGTTATTTATTTCTGCATTTCTTCTATCTTCACAATATGTCACTGTTCTGTGTCACAATATTTCCACTCTGTCTTCAAAATACTTCTTGCTTCTATGCATTCCCTCCATGCCACGGAATTGCTTGGCACTTTTGTTCTGCACAATTTTTGATGGTTGGTGCTGTAGTATTTTCTGCTTCTATGCACTCCCTCTATGCCACCAAATTCCCTGGCCCTTTTGTTCTGCAGGTAACATAAGCACGTGTTCTCTCTTGCTTTGATTCTTTAGATAGATATTTCGAGATTCTACTATAGTGTGGGTTTGAAGCTCTCATTTTCGTGTTGATTGTTTCTCCTTCTAAGAAGACTTTATTTTCTTAGAAGTATATTTTCTAATACATCAAATATACGTATTGTAATACGGGCATGCCTTTTGACCTTGAAAGGGGCCATGGTCATGACTCGAAAAATTTTGTTGTGCCTCCAACCCTAGGTACAGCAACTCTCAGGCACTCCGAAATCGCCAGAGCTCTATGTCAGCTCTAAGGCTGGCAGTGTCACTTGGAGCAAAAAGCGTAAGACCTGTGACAGGAATGACAATCAATACAATTATTTGGAGAAAAAGCGCTCTGCCCAATCAAAAAGTTCCTCATAATTAATCGAGCCTGACGACGGGACTAATCAGACCGCAAGTTGTGTATCTCTCTTGAACAAGTAAAGGTCCTGAGTTTGACCGTGGCGAGTGACCAGTGGCGCCCTCGCCATGGTCTGACTACGGAGCACGTTTTGGAGTATCTTCGTATAATAAATTTTCTTCTATTTTTTATTTTTGAGCAAACTCTCGATGAAGATCGATTTTTCAGATGATAACGTCAAGACATAACTATCAAACTTGAATCATGATATCTACAATATCCAGTTATTATCTTTGCTTTGAATGTCTTAGAAGTGGATTGAGTCAAAATTCAATATGTGCTGTATGGGAAAATTTATATCAGTCAAATACTTCATTATTTTATCATTATCGATTTTTAGAATGTCACTGTATGAAAATCACGTCAAGTCACATATAGTCGTACAAGTCAAGCTGATCTCTCATTTTTTAATCATATTATAAGTTTGTCTTTTTTTAAATTTATATATCAATGTATCTGGAAGACTTGAAAACATATTCCATACTATATATATTCGGTGGATGGTCAATTGTGTTTATTTGAAAAAATTATTCGAAAATAGGATATACAGATATTTTGATTCTAAACTTTAAATACATTTACATTGACAAATTCTCAGTTCTTGTTCAAGATATTTATATTCTTTTGGATATAATTACAATTTAGTAATAAAATGAAAAACTGAAATCATGTTTTACATAGCATAGTTGATAGATAAATTATACTCATGACTTGAAACTCTTTACATAAGCAGCAGGAATATGTCATAAAGTAGCTACTTCATATATTACATCCAATTGTAGGCGAAATTATGAGACAAGTGAAAATAAATGTATTGTGGTATCTGATACGAACGAGACAAGTGCTCGACTCCTAACTCTATGTTCAATTCATGGAGTTACGATTAAAAAAATAAAAATGAAGAACAGAAAGAAACGACGTGATGCAACTTGAAGAGCGCCGCCATCAGAAACGGAAAAGGATCATGAGTTGGGAATTGGAGCGCTCTCAAGGTTTGAATCTCGTTACGAAGGAGCGCGGGAGACAGAGTTTAGGTTTGACTCAAATGTTGGAGCCGAAGCGGCGAGTGCAATTTCCAAGTTGCTCCACGCTCCCCCGTCTCGAATCTCCGGTCCTCTCCACGCCAGCTCGTTGTCTTTGTCGCTGCCGAGACTGATCTTGAAGCGATCGAAATCGAGCTTCCCTGCTACTCCGGAGCGACGCGTTACCCTTTTGAAATGATTGTGCATTTTCGTGGCCGAGGGGCAGTCTAGATTCTCTCGCGCATTTGACCCGCTCGATACAGGTAATCTTTACGACATTCATTGTTTTGAGACGGCGGAAGCTCAGATTTTCCTATTGCTGTCACCTGAATTTCTCGGTGTTGCTTTGCCCTACTGGTGGATTCGCATTTTTAGGTGGAATTTCTTTATGTTTTTGAGTGGATGAATATCCTAAGCCTCAGCCCCACGTGTGCAAGTGTAGGTCAAATTCGCGGTGGGATACTCAATTAGTCGAGACAATGTCTTTCTATCGAAATAAGCGTAAAATTCAGGACGAAGATTTCCTCGACGATGAAGAGGAGGAAGAGGAGTCTTCGTCTGAGGATGAGGGGAGGAGGAAAAAAAGTAAAAAGGTTGTAGGTAGGAAATCAAGAACTGTTGCGAAGCCCGAAGCTAAACTCGACCCGGAGACAGGAATCACTGCGTGCGAGGTCAGTACTATGCTTCACGTCGCGGGGATATTTGCGACTAGAAATTCAAATTATTGTGACATCTGATCGTCATTCTTGCCAGCACTCTGACTGCAGTTAAACTTCCTGTCAGCTAAGGATTATTGCTCTCAATTGCACATGCTTGTGTCAGGAAGATTCAAGAAGACTGGAATAGGTTGAATTACATAAGAGTGACCCGAAACGTAACTCTGCCTATGCCCAGTGCGACTTTCTTGTGTCCCCTCCAAAAATTGTCTTTTCTGAAGGAGATATCTTCAGCTCATCTCTGAGTCGATTCCTCCATTTTGTCAGGTTCCGTCATCGTCCCTCCACATGGCTGTGGCTTCACTAGTTGCACTGTGGCTCAGAACTCTACCTAATCAACTGATGGTGTTGGCAGATCTCCAAGAATCGAAGAGTGGTTGTAAGACAGTTCAAGAAGATGATTCTCATTGACATACGACAGTACTACTCCAACGCAGATGAGGAAATGAAACCAACGAAGAAAGGTTTGCACCATCAACTTCACTAGAGATGTACATCCTTTTATGAATTGCAATGAACAGGTATACCTGGACACTATATGCCTTCTACAAGCCTCTAAGACTGACCTCCGTTTTCTCAAATGGTTGTCGGGGCTGCAGGAATATCTTTGAGCTTGGATCAGGTTAGTTTTCTTCCAACCATCTTCTCTCACCTCTGGTCGAATTTCACTCATTGTAACTTGCTTGTCTCAGTTCCTGTCTTTTTTTTCATCTTTCATGTTGCATTCTGGAATGTCGGAAATTTATCACCTAGTGAGGACATCATGTTGTGAACGCAGTGGAAGGTATTAAGCGAGAACATCGACAACGTTGATGAAGCCATAAAGGAGATGAGCTGAACTGATCGATTCCGGTGAAGCATTTCTTTGTTCCTCAACGTATTGTTCAACTTGTACATACACAGGGTTTTTTATCAGATACTAGGGAACACGAGCCTTTTCGGCGCGAATTAGTGAGTAGTTTGGTTCGGGTCCATCCTTGAAGGTACTAGATAGTAGCGGAGAGTTTAGGGAAAGGTCAACGTCTATGTGTGCTTGTGAGCTTCATCAATCATTCACAGGACAACTCTAGTGTAATTTTGTATGGATCAAAAGCCACAGGATTTGAGCCCTCTGGCAGCTGGCGTACTGGACCTGGAAAGCCAAGAAGTTGTGTAAATCCCATTCGAGACAAGCATACACATGTTGATCTGTCAGTTTTTGAATGAGCAAGTTGACATGAGGGGCGAATCGGCCGACTCACTCACATCTGGTCTCTCGTTGTCCTTAGGTCACATTTGTAAATTCAGGACGTCAGGGAAATTATATTCCCATTTTGTCTACCGCTTATCATTTGTCGTATAAACCCTGCAATAACTCTTTCATTCAGATGCAATGAGTTCAGAGAAGCAGGTATCTAAGGAGCATTGTGGCAACATTGTTTCGATCTGCATTCACACTTACCTCTTGTCACTCAAAAGATATACATTATGGAGGTAGAACCATGTCTTAAAAACAGACCTTTCAGGTAAGGAACTGGTCAAGATACCTGCCAATACCTCGCTCCTAGGTGCATGCAGAGCAGAGGTCCTCACCTCGAATGCTAACTGCGGTAGTTCAGTGCGGGATCCGTTGCAGGGCAAGATTTCTGGTGCGAAGATACGTCGGAGTAACACCGTATCAGTGATCGTTTATCTCGCGGTCTCCTCCACTCGCGTGTTAAACATGCCAACTTGGCAATGTTGCGAAAGGATCCTCTTTGCAAATTTCGAGGGTAGTACATGAATTCACGATCAGCTACTGTCTGCGATCATGAGTTGAGGATGCTACAGCTCACTTGTTGTGGAGTGTAAACGTGCGGGCGCAGATTGCTTGATACGTAAGCCACTTCTGTTCACGTTGGCATTGATTTTCGTTGTACCCGACTAGGAACTCGGTCTCGCCCCCATCCAGGGAGTTCCTACAGCGCGGCCTCCAACCCAGGCAGTTATGTCGATCGATCATGGATCTGAAAGTTTTATTTTAAAATTGGCCTCGCATTGCAGTGCAGTCTCCGGGCTGCAGGCCTAAAGCGCACCGTGATTTCCAACTTTTTGCATCAAGAAACGGCCTCCTCGGTTCCAGGCCACGAAGAACAGATTTGCCCGATGCAACCCTGAGAACATTGTCACGTTCAGTTCTAATGTTGACGCCAACGTGCGACCTCAAACTTTGGATCCAGCACTGGTAAAGAGAATCAGATAGCTGTCCCCGCACATTCACGCACTGCCCATCCTTGGCACACTCAATTGAAATCTACTCATCCAACTTCTGTCGTCTATCGTCAGAAGACGATAGATAGAAACATGAAGGAAATCCAGTTGTGGAGCTGTAGCAGTCACACTTCTAGGAAACATGAAAGAAAACTTTTCACTCATTTGACTCCATTCCTTGTGGCAGACGATAATGACGATGAAAGATTAAATGAGGCAGTTGGGTGATTGTGTTGCAGTTAGGAATCGTTGGCAGCGAGACGGTAGAGCAAACCATGCTTGTGAAGAGCGGAAGTCGAATCCATGGAAGAAACTCCGGATGCGGAGTATTTGGCAAGAACCATAGGACAGCCACTGAGTCTGGCAGTGGCTGAAGTGTGCATCGTGCAACCCGCAGATCCCATCGAGTGGCTCAGCGCATGGCTGTACAAGTACGTCGACAGCGCCGAGTGGCTGAAAGCCTACAAACGAGAGCAGTGGGAGAAGTCTTCTCTGGACGGGCAGAGCAAGCGACAAGTGTTGATCCAAGCGCAGAAGGAGTCGGAGCAGAATGGCTTGCGAATCTCTTCGTGCAACTACTTGTCTACCCTGAAAGACGACCCCTTTAATCTTTGGAAGAACGCCATCAAAGCCGTCACGACCTTCACGGGTTTCCACTCCCACTTCATGCTCACATTCGTTGTTTTGCAAGCAAACCTTTTCTCTCTAACGCAGCGTAATTCCCAATGGCATGACAAGATTGTACCGGACCGTACCTCGAGCAAACAAAATTCGTGTCCTTCCTTCTCTGTAGAGTAGGTTCTGTGCCAAGAGAATTAGCCACAGGATTTGCGAGGAGATCATCGAATTGATGATCCCCCGCTGATTATTAGATCGAAATTCAGTACCAGGGGTATGACTAGAAATTGCGTCGTTTATACATACTTGAAGAATGAACCACAAGACAACTTCTCTTCATACGCTTTTGCTCTGGCTACTTCGATGGTTATCTACCTGTACTGTCCCATAGCCCGTTTCGCCCTGGACTTGAGATCACATTCAGCCAGTCTGGACATTGGCATTGTTCTTGTCAAGCGGAGAGAATCCTAGATGAAACCCGAGATAGCCATGATTTCTTCTTTCGTTCAGGTGCCAGCGCTGTGTACATCGCAGCTGTTGTGGAGCCAGTTTGGGAACCAAAGCCTCAGAAGGAAGAAGGTGAAGATGAAGAGGAAGCTGAGTCCGAGCCCACTGAATCCGAAGGTGAGGAAGGTGAGGAGCGAGATGAGGATGAGGACAAGGCTTACGACAGCGAGGAAGAAGAGAGAATAGCTGAGGAGGAACGCAAAGCTGAAGAAGAAGCAGAGGCTGAGGCAGCAGCAGCTGCTGCGGAAGCGGCAGAGGAGGCGGCTGCTGCTGCAGCAGAAGCATCAACAGAAAGTGGAACCGAAGGTGAAACAGATGGAGAAACTGAAGTCAGCACAGATGAGGCCAGCACAGAGGCCGAGTCTGAGAAATCAGACAAATCTGCATCGATTGAAGGAGAAACTTCTGCCGAAGGTGCCGATGCCGAGAAACCTCCGGAGAAGCCTCCGAAGCCTCCCAGACCCATCAATTATAAGAAATTCATCTGCAAGTACATGGCAGCTTCACCTAACAACATCTTCATGTGCAATAAGGAAATGAAGAGAAAGATGGTAAGGTTCACTTGACTTCTTTATGTTCTTCTGTCTAGTACGATACTAAATAATCTGTAGAGCTGCTCTCTCAAAATGCCCTCTTGTCTGTTCCAATTATATGCAAAATTAGTTGCAAAATGATTCGTGAAGAAGTCAGGCTGTTCACCACATGAGGGATCCTATAGGGTAGAGGTGGGAACTTAGAATGATGAACCGGCTGAAAGTTCTGAATCTCCAGGCTACATCTTGAATATTTCACGCAGGGTCCTCTGACTTTCGGTGTAATGGAGAAAGGATTGCCTGAGCTTCACGTCCCAAACGTTTTATACAGAAAAGGTTCGATGATTTCAATGTAATTAATGTCAAAAGCTTGCTAGAATTTGGTATGTAGAGAACTTTTCTCGGTTCTCTGCCGTGTTCCTAACCACTACGAAACACATCAGTCAGTGAGGAGTAAGAAGCCTAGCTAATTTCCTTCATATATGAGAGCCTTCACAAGATTTTGGGAACAATGTAAGTGACCACATAGCGCTCCAATGCTGCCAGAAAAAACAGGGATTTTAGTTCGTGAGTGGCTCGTAGCATGACAGAGCAGATCAGGCAAAAACTTGTTGAAGCATATGTTAACTTATTCTGTAGAAGCTTAATTGCTGCGACGTATGATGTGCATCAGGCATTTACTTTTTTGGAGGCCTTCCAAGACTTGGTGCTTATTATGTTGCTCCTATAACCCTGCCTGGAACCATGACCTATCCACCACGGGTGAACACTCAACTTGCGATATAAGATAACTCTGAGGAATGCTTTAAGGATAGCCCTACCATTGAGAGAGTTGTGTAAAATCTGTCACCCGGTTAAATGACATAAAAATGTGTCACATTTTTTTTCCCTCTCCAGAACTGCAGAAATTTCTCTGGAACTCCTCTTCTTCCTTGGAAGTTTTATCCGAAGTGATGATATTCTGAAGAAGTTCAAGTTCAATCAGAAATTTGACTTACTGAACGTGATCTGTAGGATCCAGGTGGTAGGACTCCTTTGTGCAGATACACTGAAATTCGAGACTTCAGGATCTGGTGACCCCTTTAAACCAACGGAGACAGCTTTCATGCAAAATGTTGCCAAGGCACTGGCTCATGCCATGAATCAAGATCTTCTGGAGGGCACCCAGGACATAGACACGATTACCCCACCTCTTATTGAGAAAATCAAGACCAAGTTCAAGGAGATCAAGGTGGCCCATAGACAGGCTGTGAAGAAGGCTGCTAAAGAGCTGCTCCTAGCACAGAAAGCCAAGGCAAAAGAGGAAAGAGAGAAAGAGAAACAAAAGATCAAAGACGCAAAAGCCGAAGCGAAGAAAAAGAGAGAGGAAGAGAGGGAAGCCAGAAAGAAGGAAAGGGAAGCGAAGAGAAAAGAAAGGCAAGATGCTGGTGAGGAATTGGAAGAAGAAGAGGAGGAAGAAGAGGAACCGGAAGAAGAAGAGGAAGAAGAAGTTTCGGAGCCAGAGGAGGAAGAAGCATCCGAAGAGACCGAGGGCACGGAGGAAGGAGAAACCGGCAGTGAGGTAACAGGGAGCGATACGGGCACTGAAGGCGACACGGAGACAGAGACCGACGGAGAGACAGAGGTAGGGACAGAAGGAGAAGAAGAGGAGAAAGAGGAAGAGCCTGAGGAGCCCGAATCAGACCCAGAAGATTGGGGCGAGGAACCACAAGAAGAGGGGGAGGAAGGAGAGGATGAAGAAGCTGGAGACACAGAAACCGCCGAAACGGAGGAGACCGACGCTGAAGAAACTGAAGGCGAAGAAACGGAAGGCGAAGAAACCGAGGATGAAGAGACAGATGCAGAAACTGAGGCCTCAGAGACAGACGGCGAGGGAACCGATGCCTCTGAGACATCAGGAGAAGAAACAGAGGGAACAGCTTCCGAGGGTGAGGAAGAGGCAAAAGTTGTCGATCCTGAGGTCGAGAAGAAGAAAGCTGAAAAGAAAGCTAAGGCAGAGGCAAAGAAATTGGTGGTCAAGGAGAGAAAGAGATTGGCCAAGGAGGGTGCCAAGAAGATAAAGGACAAGGAGAAAGAAATTGCCAAGCTTGAGAGGGCGCTACAGAAGGCAGAGGATGCTCTGAAGGAAACGAATGTGCTGATGACCAAGCTTGAGATTTCTATGGCAAAGGGCGATGCTATTGTCAAGCATCATCAGCTGCTAGTTTCTACCGTCATGGACCATATGCTTGAACTTAAGGTTTCCCTCACACCTAAAGCTGACGATAGCATGTCACTAGTCTTCAGGGCTTTAGGCAACTTCTAGTGCGTGCGTTTTATTATACCAGTGGAAGACTGAGAAGCTTGCAAGTTGGAGGAATAGTCCTAGTTAGCTTCTTAAGCTGGAACAGCGATACAGAAAGACCGTGAATACCTGAGGCCTTTTGTTAACCACCCTTGCCTCTCGACCATGGTCTAATGACAGTGACACATTTGACTTCCAACAAATGGAAGCATTTTTGCATCATATGCTGTATGTCATGACAGGTATCCACCTATAAGAAAGCCTATGGTCTGTTAACTGACCTAGAAATAATCTCTCTAGGGTGTGTAGAGAAAGGTATGAGAACCTGATGATGTTACTCGCTCCCCGCAGGACAAGGAGCTCAAGCGAATAAAATGCACTCCATTTCCTAGGCGAAGAATGTTTAGAGTTCTCAAGGTAGAATCTTGGTTTCGAACTGAATTTCCTTACATCATTGATGCATCAAAGCTGCTTTTAGTCATAAAGCATATCAACTGATGTAGAATGTGGCTTCGGTTGTTCTCTGCAGGCTTTACTATACATTTTGGGTCACAAGAAATACGTTGTTGATGACTGGATAGGTGCAAGGGTCCTCGTAAACGCAGATTTTGTCAACGTAAGTTTCACAGATCAGCGTTTCTTGTCCATCAGATACAGTAATTTCTGGAGGTACTTTTTCAGCTGTTAGGAGTCAGGGGCTATTTTGTATCGTAATGATTTTAACTGACTTTATAAAGTAGTTCCTACTTTAGAGATTGTAAGATTAAGTGGTCAGTCAGCTGTAGGATAAATTTAAGGGTCGAAAGGTTGCTGTTCTTCGTATGTACTGGAAGACGTGCATTTATGCTACTCACTGCTTCTTCCTTCGTCTCAGAAGAATGTTACGCAGCTTTTGTATTCTAAAGTTTCTTCTAGTTCTATTTCTTCATCCACCTCCCTTCCTTGCCTTTCACCTTAATTCCTACTCTGTTTCTGCTTTCCAATAGTTCGTCTTGTCAAAGACTTTCCTCTCTTTTAACGCTTTGATTGTAATTGTGGCAGTACGGAAATGTTAGATATAAAACATTGTCATGACCAGTATTTTCAATACTGCTCATACACCGGTCTTTATGAGATTCACAAGGATTTGGACTTTCATTTATCGTGATTTCTGATACAAGAGTCCCTGGCATTCTCACAGCCGGTGTTTCCCGTTGGTCCCAATTGTCTCTTTTTGTGATTAAATGTTAGATTACAGAAACCCCGTATAGCTGCGTAATTTCTGGACTTTTGAAAACGCGTTATGTGGAAAAGACATTTGTCAGTATGCATCAAGGTTGATGATACTGTGTCTACTGCTCCATCAGCCATAGGTTTCCTTACCTGCGAAAACGCGAAGTGTGTATGTCCTCAATGTTTCCCGCACTCGTGAGGAGTTTCGGGTGGCAAACATATCCATTTCTTTCTTAGAAGCATTATGACAGGTTTAACATTAGAAGTAAAAGAAGCACCAGTGAATATTTCACGCAGGAAATAGGATGCTGCCGTTTTATGATTGACGGGAACGTCATTTTCGTGGAAGGATACACATTATATAAGTTGTTATGTTCTTCACAGCCCCATGCTCTGTACTCTTGCTCTGGTCTGCTAAAAATGTCAATGTTTTAGCAGTTCTCTCGCTTCCACGCTCCTGAAGTCTTAGCTCACTTTAGGGTGCTCTCCTTTCTTCCTGTTTAACTCAACGTGCTCATTCAGTTTCGGTGTTGCTGCCTTTGAAGCTACCAATTTTTTTGGAATATAAGAAGTTAATTCAGATCTTCGCAGATAATGAAGCTTTGCTACTCACTCAAATTCAACGATGTCGGTTGTAATTGATCAGAAACCTTGTGGCTTGCTTTCCAGGCACTTAAGTCGTATGATGCATTCAAACCAGCGGATCCTGTCAAATGGAAAGCCGCAGAATCTTATATCGAAGTACGAAATATTCTGTTTTTTTTCCAGTACTAAACCAGCCAGCTTTTGTTGAGGAAAGTTCAAGCTCCTCTATCGCTAATGTGTGGTGTCCACGTGTTTCCCATTGTATCAGGGTTTAACAGGAAAGAAGCTGATGAAAGAAGCACCCTTTGCCTATGTATGGACCTTCCTTATCATCTTTGTATTGAAGGCTTCACTGAAACAATGAAGCAATTTACCATTTACCATTTTACCATTTTACTGAAACAATGAAGCCTTCACGCCTTGTTTCAGTGTTGATCTCAGGGTTTTTCAGTCAATTACGGCAGATGTAATGTTTTCGATTGACCTGATTGACCACCTCTTTAAGACAACAATTTAAACTCGTGGATACTTTTCTCCAGCTCGGACTGAAATGGCTGCTCCGACTGAAGAAACTATCAACAGCGTGTGCCCACTTTACTGCCATCAAGACGAAGTTCGAGGCACAATCTAAGGTTTCAATCTGTACTCAAGACCTGCTCAAAGCAAAACTACCAACCATCGATAATTGCACTATCATTATTATCACGCCATTCACATATTTAACAGTTGAACAGCTGAGCATGTAATTGCTCACATAATCCTGTATACGTGAATGGGGCTATGGCGGCACAGGCTATGGCGGCAGCCGATCTGGCCAGGATCATGTGTCAAGTCCATCTAAATGTAGTGAAGGGTGAACTGAAGAAAATGACGGATGTCGAGAAAGTGAGACTAGAAAAGGTTGCAGCAGAAGAAGCAGAAGAAGCTAAGCTCAAGGCCATAGAAGATGCAGAAGAAGCCGCAAGAGTTGAAGCAGAAGAAGCAGCAAGAGCTGCAGCAGAAGAAGCAGCTTCAGCAGCTGCTGAGACTTCAGAAGCAGAGACTTCAGAGGGAGGTGAGACAGAAGGAGACGAGACCGAGACGGAAACGGAGGCGGAGGAAGAGTAGAAGTATCATATCATCCAAGGTCATGACCGTACCACTCAAATATTCTCTGTGAGAAAGGCGAAATCTCTTCGATAATTTCAAGACCACCACGGTTGTTGTCACTCATAATGATGATGTTGTGGTCAGCCTTCATCTGCGACCATGTACAAGAATAAACGCATTCGTGGGTACTTTGAATGGTGGTCAAAACTATGCAGAAAGAGTGTGATGCATTGGTTGCTCCTTGTGGATTCCGAGCATTAACTGAACTAAATTGCTCATCATTGCTGTACACCGTCAGGAACGCAAGCCGACAAGCTGTGACAAGGGAAGAGGCCAACATTTTGTATGAAATTGATAGTTATCTTGGTTGTCGGCACAATATTAGATATGTGGGTTCTCATGATAGTTACCGTTAGGTAGGACTGTGAGGATTCTTTCAAAGTATTGTCCTTTGTAGTCTATCTAATTTAGAGATTTGTGTATTCAGGTCTAAATCTGAAACTTTAGTGTTTTCTCATAGATAGTACTTTTCGTGCAACTCGGAATTAGCTAGACGGATGTTGGGCCAATGTTTGCGGCTTGTTTTGAAGTCTAGAGCCTTCAAATTTTGAGTTTCTCACTACATGGATTTGCTTTGATTATTGATGGACTTCTTCTGGTTTTATAAAACATGCCTTGTCTTCTGTCAATCAGGAGAGTCAGTTGCCTTGTCCCAGTGACTGCAGCCGCAATAGCACTATCATTTCATTTCGTATTAAGTGGTTGGAATTGCTGTAATGAACTGTGCTATGCTCCGTTGATCAATCAGAAATAGTTGTTTCGATTTGTCCGCTTCGTTGGCTATGTTGTTGCGGAGATGTTTGTTTAGTGAGAAATTATGAGATTTATGAGGAAGATTGAGGATGAAGAGAGTGGAACAAAATGCAAGCGTATTGTAGTAAAACTACTTCCCTCCTGAACGTTGAGGGTACCTACATATTGGTCACTTTCCATGAATGATATTTTAAGAGACCGATCTTCGGCATCAAAACTCCCATTTCTTTTGGTTTGTCGACTGTGGGCTCATAGGCCTAAGGTTTTCTCTCATTCATTCCTTTTCTTGTGTTCTCGTCATCTAGCATTTCTCAAAGTAAGAAGTGAATTGACAACAAGCTTAGCTCAACTCAATCTTCGTTTGCAGGTTGACCATAACCGAAAGGCAATAACTTACCCTTTGTACTCATGTGATGAAACGATGCACAAGTCCACTAATGAGCGCCAATTCGTTCGAAATGATCATCATCGTTATTTACAATGCAACTACCTCTTGGGTACCACATACACGATTGATGTTAGTATGCTCAGAACAAGTCGGTGTGATCTAACGCGGGTGATTGGACCTTATTTGATAAGAAAATCAACCTCGGCTCTCAACATTACCCTCACAGTGATCGAGGTAGATTACTTCAGAAGCAGTGCAGGAAAAGGAAGATGGAGAACCGGAAGAGGCATACAGCGACTAACAATTCCCAGCGTCTTCGAAAATTTCGGCCGAAACAACACGTAGACACTCGCAATACACGCCGCAACAAACGCGAACGATGCAACGATACTGCGAAGAACAGATCCACAAATGCAATCAAGCACGTGGAACGAGGCTCGAAGCTATTGTAACAACCGAAGTTGTTGCCTCTTGGGCTGAGTAAACTAGAATATGTCACTCGCTGGTCTAATGTGTCGTTCTGTTCATTCTGTCATCGGCCCTCTTCGAAATCCTCCACGAAGTAGATTGTCAGCTCTGCAATGTTACGCAGAAGTCAGCCAGCAATCTGGCTTCTCTGGACCCAAGGCCAACACACTCTGTCACTCTATCCTCTCACAGATGCTCCTCACTCAGCAATTCCTCCGACGAGTCTCACGATGGAAGAAGATCTTTGAATCAGGCGTCGAGCTGCTGCTGCTGGACGATCAGGCATGAGGATGACTCTATGGGTCGGCAAGATGCTCGCTGAATCAACATTGGCAACAAAGGAAGGCAAGGCAAGGGATATCGAAGGATTTGAATCTTGAAAAGGCAATGAATTCTTGCAATGAATGTGGGCCATGAAAGAAAGATGCCATCAGCCAGCCATGCATGGATCTTCGTCCTGCTGCTACACTGGAGGGTGGTAGCTTTTGAGCTCTCGGCAGCACATACTTGTGTAGCATGAGTGCCTCCCTCCCTCCCTCCCTCCCTTCTTGGGCTGCAGCAGGTTACAGTTATGGCTTGCGAACTTTATGGAAAGGCATAATGAGAGAAGAGGCTGGGGAGATGGATATTCACAATCCCGAAACCATGAACCTTGAGGCAGCGTCTGATGTCACTCGCCGTCAATGATTTTCATCCGTCCCACACATGAGCAGACACAGTGAGAGGATATGTGATACCCCAAATGCACGTTTCCTTCGTTTACTGGAGAACTAGAGCCTCGTGTGGACGGCTCTCGGATGGACCGACCGCTACAACCATCGTACCATCCGAGCAGTTTGTGGTTTTGTGCATGCAAAGATTCTTCTCATTGGTCAGACGAATTGGGGACGATTTGTCTGTTCTGAAGAAGGGCCTAGAATCTATCAGAAGTGAATATTTCTTGAACAGTTTGGAGCTTCACTTGGACCCAAAAGCTCGAACTCCAATGTGTGCCCAATTCAGACTACACATTTGGGGAACAGCGCCCGGAGGTTTTGTAGTTATGGAGGTTCCTGAATCCCAAACAAGGCGAGAAACAAACAAACTTCACATCAGGGGGCTATGGAATTTCGATTTGTCACTGCCCCAAACAATTCAAGGGCGAGAGCGTGTTCAAGGAGGAGGATTATGAGGAGGAGAATGTATGAAGACGTGTGTCCATTCGTGCTCGAATTTCTCCCCCGTACCAAATGAACGGACACTCGTCCAAATTGAACTTTGCAGATGTTACAGATGTTACAGATGTACATTGTGGATTCTTCAGCACTCGAGCTATGGACGCTGCCAGCATGCGCTGTTTTGGGGACTGATGCAGCCAGCCAGCCAGCCATCCATCCATCCAGCACACTCACTCACTCACTGCACTGCACTGAGCTCAAAGAATATTCTCAGAGATCTACTAATTCCCTCGTAAGCCCTCGCACTCTGCTGCAACTTATCTACTGCTGTGCAAACCGTTCACCGAACCCTGTCCTGCAGTGGCTTGCGAGCACAATTATTCCACTCTCCAGCTGCCAGCACCAGATTTGCCTCGCTCGCTCTTCAAATGTTCGTAGCAGTGGCATAATAAGCTCAATTTCATGCAGCATTTGTTGACAGGCATATCATCTCGAATCAGTCAGTTCAAATACGCCGACGAGTCATCGAGCCAGGGGCACCTGCACCTTCTCGTGTCTGTCTGGCTTACTGGATGCCAGTTTGTCCATCTCAACATCCATGGACCTCACTTTTGTTCAATGTCTCACTTCGATGGCGATGAATTTGGGCTTTCTGAAAGAACAGAGCTTTCGAGTATTAGTAGTGTGATCAGTAGTATCTTAAACCCATTGATGAACTCTTGTATTAAATACCATCTGCATTGATGGAGATACTTCACAACCTACAGCTAATGGTACAACGGCTTCAAATATGGATAAATCATGCGTGTTTATTGTGCAATTTTTTTGATCTCAAGCTTGGATCTAACCATCTACAGATTGAATTTCACATTGTGAACTCATTTTTGTTTGAGCAATATTTTAGTAATATGTGTTCGATTTTTTGATTATATTCACGAGTAACTTGCTGCGAAAAAAACAGACTGTTGCAAATGCCAACGAATAGGAAGGCCATTGTATAGCTCCATCTAATTTTTCAAACGCATAAAATGATGCCACATTACTACTTTGGTACATAAGACGTTAAAAAAAATTGAAGGTGTGAAGTGATGAATATCAATCAATTTCAAATATGTGTGGAGATACTTCTGAATTTCAAAAATTCATGGGGATTGTTAAATTTACCGTCCATTGGCTAAATTTACCCCCTTCACTCTCATACGCTCTGAATTCCGCATATGAGGGAGGAAGCCTCGACCTTTTGCACTCACATGGAATGTAAATCCAAGTGACATGTCAATTCCTTCTCAGACCCAAATGCTTCACAGTCTACGAAGGTAGGGGGAGATTAAAGCTCTGCAGATTTTGTTCTTTACAGATTTTAAGCTAAAGGAAAAGCTCTGATTCTGTTTATACAACAAATAGCTCCTGAACTAGTGCAAGGTAGATGAGGAGAGATTCAGAGTTTGGGTTGAAAACCTGAAAATTCAAGTCAAAAATCATTCTTTCAATTTGCTGCAAATGGTAATAAAGACAAAACTCTATTCTTTGCTTTAAAACTTATGTGTAAATTTTTCGTGATGTGATGAAATATTAAATTGAATCTTGATTTACTTATCAAACTTTGTAAGCAAAATTTCTGATCATTTCATCAATCATAAACTTCACCATAGTGAAGATGATAGCATTCATGATCTTCCTGTTTATCTAATTTGACTAGACGTATGTTTAAAAACTCAATTAACGTGTTAACATTACAATGCTTTTATTATTGAATCATATTATCACAATCAAATCCATGTAAGAGTAAAAAATGATTCAAACTAATAAATTTAAAATATCTAAATATGCATCAATTGAAACTCAAAAACCACATAGTTTATGAATAATGTATTCAACATCAACATCATTACTTAATTTAATTATGAAAAATAAAAATATTGGATGATATTTGCAATCTTGTACATATTTTTTTTAGATTTCATTTGATTCTCAACAAAATAGTCATATGCTGAATGTAGTATCAACTTGAGATAATTTTGACTATGAATGTGACTCCTATATATGTACTTACTAGATTAATTTCACACATTTAGATTTTATTAAAATTTTGTCATAAATTTAAAAATTCTTACTTAATGATCAATTTATCAAATCTGAACATTTTTTTGAGTAAATATAATAATTTTTCATGTAATTTATGGATGTCAATGCAATTTCTACACACCAAGTTATTATTATTCTTGATTATTATTTATTTAAATAAATTTTTTTAAAAATTTCATTGTATAATTTTTATATATTTATTAATGATTTATTTACATTAAAAAATAGTGTTTTTGATAGAAAAAACTTTATATATTTTGCTTACATTGATACAATTGATATTCAATGATGATATTTTTAATTGAATAAAAATGAACAATGACTGATATACTGTCATGATATCAAAGTATAATTTTTACAAAATAGTATAATTTTTAAAGAATAATTTTACTTTTTAAAGAAAATTAACGCAAATTTAAATTTTTTTTGACAAAATACTCAGTGATATATTTGAAATTTTTTTAGTATTGATCATCTATAAAGTAAAATAAATGCTGTCTACTTATTTTTGTATTACAAATTTTTATGTTAAGTTTATGTAAATCTATGCCGTAATAAAATTAATAAAAAATAATTGAGATTTCTCAAGGTGAATCTATCCACCCTACACATGTAGCGTTGTACTTAGATAAGCGGTGCACCGCTGTACTTACAAAATACTAGAAAATGCTCGCTGACGAGCCATGAGATTCCTCAAGGTGAATTGATCGACCCCAGACCTGTGATAAAAATAACATAATTTTTTTATGAAAAAATAGTCAGTGATGTGTTTGAGTTTTTTTCAGTAAAGATTGACTATTAAGTAGAATAAATGCATTTTACTTATCTTTGTTTTACAAATTTAATGCTACGTTTATGAAAATCTATACCTATAATAAAATTAATAAAAAATAATTGAGATTCCTCATGGTGAATCGTTCCACCCCACTCATATGCAACGCTGCACTCAAGGCTTACGAGAGAATGTCCGCCAACGATACTGACGGATACCAATATGGAATGCAATATATCAAACATCAATAATTCCATTTACTTTAGATTTCTCCTCGAGAGTAGTTTCGAGCCGACGACAATCAAGCCAGACCTTCATAATTCAATTTTTAATGATAATTATTAATGATAACGATAATTTAACTACAATATTGATGAAATTATCGTTTATTGTTGTTGTTGAAACCGTTGGAACTGAAGTCTATAAAGTAAAATAAATGCATTTTACTTATTTTTGTATTAGAAATTTTTATCCTAAGTTCATGAAAATCTATACCTATAATAAAAAAAAACAAAAAACAAAAATTGTATTCTCATGTACACATAAATGTCATCATGCTAACAATTATAATTTGGCATATTATTATTTTATCAATGTACCACAAAAAGCTTCTTTGAAATTTTTGTTGCAAAATTTTTCAGTCAAATACATCCTATCAGATTTGTAAAAATAGCAAATTATTTTATGTCAAAAATTAGTTTATTGAGATAAAAAATGCTTTAGCTACAAAAAGTATTTCATGATAATGGCGTTAATTATCATTTTAAATTATCTTTGAAAATAAGTTACAAATTATGCAAAATCAGAAACTCAACATACAAGTTTTTTTTACTTATTCATCAATCTTTATTATCTAATATATATTACAGGTAAAGTATATTGCAAGGTTATATTTATTGATTTTTTTACACACAATATAAATTTCATTTTTTTATTTTTCTATAAACACTAGTTTATTCTTGAAACAATAACTTCAAAGCATTGATTTGAATTTTAATCTAAAGAAATAAACAATAATGATTTTTTTAATTAAAAAATTGCAAAAATTAAATTTTGTAAAAAATTCTAATAATAAATAATCTATAATTTCTATAAAATCAGTAATTATGCAAGAAGTAATAATTTTTTTAATAAAATCAGATGTCATAAAAAAATCTAAAACTTTAAATCTTATAAAAAATATATTTAAAGATAATATGAACATCTTGATCAAAAATTTGTATTAAAATTACATTTGATTAAAAACACAGTTTATATTCATGTTGATTAAAATAATTTAGTAGTAATAATAATATAGTAATATAATTTAATAGTATAATATCTAACATAAATAAAAAAATCTGTATCACATTTAAAAAATTTATGAAAAATGTTTCTTCTCAATATATTATAAATTTCAAGATTGTCAATTGTGATGAAATTATAAGTTATGTCAAAAAATTGTAATAGTGATCAAACAAGATGTACTTTCACCATATAAATGATGAAATTTAATATATTTTATTGTATAAGAATAAAAAATACTGAAATATTGATGAACAATGTAAAAAATTGTAATTTTATTCAAAAATTGTGATTCTTAGGGGTGTGATAAATGGACATCACCTTTTTTATATATGGACATCACCCCGTACATACCTTTGGAGGAGCAGAGGAGGATCAGAGCAGCAACCTGAGTACCCGTGCTAGAACGATGACGATGTGGGGCAAGCAGTGCTCCGATCGACGATTGCCCTCCTTCATGGGAAGTAAAAAATTTCCAAGCGAGGGATGGGAACATGCGTCGGTCGCAAGGGCTCTGTTACGGAAGAGACTTAAGATGAGGGCATGAGCGTGGGATGAAAATGAGAGTTTGTGGGGCATGACTGGTGGGTGGGGTAAAGGAAGTACTCTATAACTCTCACACCTCGCCTCTGCATTGGAGCCCAACTTAGCGGGATTGCGAGGCAAACTTTAAAGTCATACCTCCTGCGGCCTAACTCCTTGGACCAAATGCATGGCACACTCACGAGACGGAGGGGATGATGTCTACATATTAAAAGGTGATGTCCATTTATCAGCCCTCTATACTTAGATGTATTTTTGAAAACACTTTCATTTGAATGTATCATACTTCAAATTTTTTTAAAAATATTTAGAACAATAATTGGAAAATATTTATTTTTTGGTATATTTTAGTTATATTAGGTTAGAATCTTAAACTAATTGTGTATATTAATTTTAATACTTTATTTGCATGTATCTATTCATTTCTATGTACTTTTTATCAATTTTATTATGCATATCTTGATATTTTAAATTTAACATTCAAGATAAAACATCCCATATTGAATATTTATATATCTAAAATGTCAATATTTTTTAAATTCATGACTATAAATATTTAAATTTTATTTTAGTTTTATTTTAATTTGGAAACTATTTGAAATATGTTAAAACTTTTGCATTTATTTTTTGACATAATAAATATAAAAAATGAAATTTAAATAAATTTTATAAAAATTTCTATTTTATATATTATGAAAATATATTTAAATTATAATTCAATCTTGTATATTAGATTATTATTACAATATATTAGATTTAGGTCATTGATTGACTTTATATTATAAATGTAATATACGGTTTTTTGTAGATTGTTTTAGTATTATGATAATTATTTCTATTAGGTTTATAACTAAGCTTTGAAGTAAACATTTTGATATTTATAAATTTATAATATGCAGTTAGAAAAGGAATATTCTTGATTTAATGACAAGTTGTTTTTTCAGTTCTGATAATGATACTTCACAAGTTTTGATATTAGATATGTTAATAATCAACAATGCTATCTTGGAACATTAATATCACATGATGAACAATAACCACAAATCAAATAGGAAGTTTTTATTCAAAATTAAAGATAAATAGAATG